ATGAGAACGAATATACGCTTATTCTCAAAGCGGCACAATACATGCAAGTGTTTTGGAAAATACGCGAACTGAATTTGTTTAATTTTGCAAGTTAGCCTAAAAGTAGACCACCACAATTTTTTTTTTATTATCAAATTAAACAAAACAGTAGCTAAATTTTCTGCTACTTATAGAAAAAACATAATACTCTATGCTATTTGCAGAAAAACGTAATACTCTATGCTAATTTGGAAAGCCGTCGGCAAAGGTCCCCAATTTTTTCCAAATTCTCTGCTAATCAATAAAAAACATCTGTTCAAATTCTACACAAACAAACAAACAAACAATTTGGCAATTTAACAACAAAAGCAACAGTAGTAATAAATAAAGCATATAAATAAATAAATCGTTTATAAAAAAATAAAGCATTTTGTGGCTTTTCTTTCCTATTTTAACTTTAAATCCATTATACAGTATAGGAAACAAAGAAAAACGGAAAGATTATTCTTGGATTAGACTTAATAAAACATACATAAACATATAAACATATTAGTATGGGGAAAAAGAAATCCATTATTTTTATATGAACTTCAGGACTTTATTTAACATGCTTCGGATTGTCCGATTTGGGTCAAATATGCACCGTTTTGTTGTATGATTTGTTGCCATTTTAAAGGTAACTTCAAAATGCCTCTCTCATAGAAGTCCTGGTCTCTATTTGCAAAAAACTCTAGTAGTCGATTTTCACAATCCTCCCTAGATTCCAATGTTTTATCATTAAAGAAATTTTGCAAGGGAAGAAAACGATGATAATCGCTTGGTGCCAAGTCCGGACTGTATGGCGGGTGCATTAAAACTTCCCAACCAAGCTCCCGAAGTTTCTGGCGAGTCACTGTAGATGTGTGTGGCCTAGCGTTGTCCTGGTGGAACACGACACCTCTCCTGTTGGCCAATTCTGGCCGTTTCTGGTCAATCGCTATCTTCAAACGGTTCAGTTGTTGACAGTGAAGATCAGAATTTAGCGTTTGGCCATATGGAAGCAACTCATAATAAATAATCCCCTTCCAGTCCCACCAAATGCGTAGCAAAACCTTCCTGGCCGTTTGAGGTGCTTCACCGCTCTTTGACCACGATCGTTTTCGCACAGGGTTATCGTATCCAGTCACCATCCAGTCATTGCAAAATGTACCGAATTTTCTCTTTGTTCACTTCCATTTTTAACACGCTGTAATTCACAACTGAATGCACCAAACAAACAACAGCAAAAGAATTTTTTTTACTGCGAAATGTCACCTTTCCAACGAGCATAAATCTGAAATTGTTTGATCGATACTTTACGAGAAATCTATCAGTGCAGCCACCTACCGAAAAAATAATGGATTTCTTTTTCCCCAAACTAATATTTCGTCATCAAAAAGAAGATAAAACTAAAAAGAAATTCTAACAGGACGTATAAGCAATCTCAATTATTACATTAATATTACACCTAAAGGTAGGCAAGCAAAGTCAACGTTAAATTCTCTGCTCTTTGCAGAAAGAACGTAATACTCTATGTTAATTTGCAAAGCCGTCGGCAAAAGTCGCCAATTTCTTCCAAATTCTCTGCTAATCAATAAAAATCATCTGTTGAAATAGTTAGGGCGCACATTAGATATAATATATAATATTAGTCTGAGAAAACGTATTGTGCGGTTTGTGTATAGGCTGATGGCTTATGGCGAGCTTTAATTTGGTGCCATATGAGAGTAATTAAATGAGCTAGCTTTAATTGTGGTTGGACAAATTTAAATGTCGTAAATTTGATATATTATTTATCTATGCAAGGATATAATCAGCTAAAAGTAGCCATCTATTGTCAACCACTTGCATTAACCTACTAATAGTAAAACAATAGATTGTTGAAATTGTGTTAGTTTGCAGTGCAGTGTAAAAGTCACGCACAGTGTGCTTGCAGTTTCAATATATTGATCTGAAATACTCTATTAAAACTTTTATTTACGGCAACGCTGGCAATAGCTTTGACATATTCTAGTAAAGTGAAAAATTTCCCTTGTGCGGAAAAAGAGTTGTAAAAAGAAGCTAAAATAAACAATATCACACGCACACAACTGATAAAAATTAATTAGAAAATTGTTAAAGATACCTAGAAACTGGCAACTTTGTAATTAATAATCATAAAAGATTTGCGTGAATAATTTAGGAAAAAAAGCAAAAATGCAAGCCATCAAGTGCGTTGTGGTGGGCGATGGTGCAGTCGGTAAGACCTGTCTACTAATCAGCTATACAACAAATGCCTTTCCGGGCGAATATATACCCACCGTGTTCGATAATTATTCGGCTAATGTTATGGTCGATGCAAAACCTATTAATTTAGGTTTGTGGGATACGGCCGGACAGGAGGATTATGATCGTTTACGCCCACTGTCCTATCCACAAACTGACGTGTTTTTAATTTGTTTTTCTCTGGTCAATCCGGCATCTTTCGAAAACGTTCGAGCTAAATGGTATCCGGAGGTGCGCCATCATTGTCCTAACACCCCAATAATATTGGTAGGTACCAAACTGGACTTAAGGGATGATAAAAACACTATTGAAAAATTACGCGACAAGAAATTGGCACCCATCACCTATCCTCAAGGATTGGCTATGGCCAAAGAAATTGGTGCCGTCAAGTACTTGGAGTGTTCAGCTTTAACGCAAAAAGGCCTGAAGACTGTATTTGATGAGGCTATACGTTCGGTGTTGTGTCCTGTATTGCAGCCCAAATCGAAACGCAAATGTACAATGCTATAATTTTCTATGAAAGCTGGAAAATATTAAATAGCCCAGATATAAAGAGAAGCGTCATCGATTGCATCAGCTATCCAACCACCAACGGACCATTCATTGACCCAGCCGTAAAATAATGTTGAACACGTACAATTTTTAGACTATCCCCTTTTTATACAATCTAGTAATAGAACAACATAGTAGGAAAAAAGAAAGAAAATACCTAAAAATATGTATGTGTGGTCTTCCATTCCTTTTTAAAGTGGGACCAATGATATAATATCATCGGTCAACATGTTTTAACGTTGCTTCACAATAGCTCAAAATAAATTGCATTTCAAACATGGTTTAGCATACAGATGTTGAAAGTTTTTCGCTCTCAATTTACTTAATCTCTGCTTCCTACCTATTTGAAAGGGGCCGGGGAAGACAAGAAGTTAGCGCATGTTTAATAGTGGTTTGGGCTGAAAACAACATCAAAAATATTCTATGTAACTAAAAAAGGAAGCGCTTCTTTTTTTATTATGGTAAATAAATTTTTGTTTTAAATTCAAAGTGAACATTTATGTCTAATATTTCTTTATTAAAAAATTGTTTATTTAAATGTGCATTAATTTAAAAGTTTTTTCCTTGCAAAACTACTACATACTGAAAAAAATGAAGCAGTAAAGCATTCATAAATACGTGGTTTTTACAACTGGCTTTGTGCGTTAGTTACTCTTTATGGTTTTTTTTTCTCTACGTAATATTTTTAGATCATGTACTAAATTCAATACTAGTAGAAGTAATGGAAAAAGTCAGAAAACAGAAGAATATATTAACGCATATAAAAAGACGAAGTCGTAAAAATTTAAACTATGTTAAGTGGTTACGCCAAGAAATTAAAGTGTGTATTGAGAAACATGGAGCAGAACGGCTTAAAAAAATTGCTGGTTATAGATTTTTTTAAATGTATTGTTCACATAAAGCGAGCACACACATGCAGAAAATGAAACACACAACGTAATAGTTTTAATGGTGTTAATTACATACTCCTACTCATCGAATTTCCTTTTTCAATGGTTAATACAAGATTTAATTGATCTAAACCTAACAGATGTACTTCTAAAATAACAAAGATAATAGTAATAAAAGAAAAAAAAGAAATATACACGAATAACCACACAATACTAAATAATGGCAAAGTTTCTAATTTTTTTTCTTGAAAAGTTTTATGAGTCCGCCGATAGTCACTCATAAACACATAAAACTTTAAAACTCATAGCGGGAAAAAATTTTATATATAAGACCTGGGCATCACTGGCCGTTTAGTATATCTGCCTTGGTCGATTTCAAAGGTAGAAAACGAAACCGAAATAAACCTACTAATTAATAATTCTATACTTATTATTAAATGTTTGTGTATGTACTAAAAAAAGAAAGTAACATTCTAAGAAAAAAAGAATATGAAATAAAAATTGTAATACTTGCAAATTATTTTTTTTTTTTGGTATGTTGAACAGAGATGGACTAAGCCAATAGATACTTGCAAATTAAGATCATTTTTAAACTCAAATAATATGACAACCCAGGCGAGTGCTGTTTTTCATTGTGCTTACCATTTGGGGTTGTTTTAAAAACGCAATTGCCTCAATCGTCATAAACAAGCTTGAATCGCTATATTTGTTATGAAATGATAATTTTATTCGCCTCAAATTTGGCATACAAATTTGGTTTATAAACCTTTACACCGCTGAAATTGATTTTTTGTAGCCTTTTAGTCGGTGCAGGTGCCGTTTCACTTCACATTTTTGAGAGATTGACATGGAAAGCAATCAACAATTTATTACTGAAAGTTATGGCAAAGTAGTTGATTACAAAACTGATCCTATTATTTGAAGCGAACCTAGCACTAGTGCCAGAATGCTTTTTCTTAGCTAATACACCAATGTACCCGTCATATGATTTTATCATCCATTAGCAAGTAACTTTTTTGGATCAAATTCAGGTTTTAATGATAGGTAAAGGTGCAGAGGAGGCATGAAAAATCCGGAGAGGAGGTAAAGAAACTCTCGTCATGCAAAATATTCCCACACAATTGCCCAACTAAATCGACAGCGAAAAAACATTTGCATTAGATGCCCCAAATAGTAAATATAAAAAATATTTCTTCTCTACGATTTAATTATTGTACATAATATATAGTTTAATCTACTTTCAGCTTTTTACGAGCAGAAAATCGTAACATTAAACATTGCTTAGGATATGAACTCTTTTAGCTAGTTGGGTATCAAGTTGCGTAAACAATTGGCTACAAGTATTGAACTTGGATTGGCACACAAAGAATTGGGAGTTCATTATAATTCCTCGGGAAACGATCTTTTCAAGTTTATTAAATTCATTTGGTCATTTTAATCGTTATCTATTTAACGTTGCAAACGTTTTGACAAAACTTTAATGATTTTGGCGGATTTTGGCTTGTTACTTATTACGTATTATTTATTGCTTATTCCTTATTATTTTTCACTTATTACTTATTATTTACTATTAATTATTATTATTGACTTACTATTTACCTACTTATTACTCATTACTTTTTACTTCTCCATTATTTATTATTATTACGTTCACATATACATGAAAATGCTTATGATTTATGACGCCAGATTACGACTGATTTTTATTTATTGGTTCTGGCTAATTTTGACTTATTTATTTACTTTTAATCTTCGGATATGTCGATGAGTATGCTTCCATGTACACATATCCAGCAAAAATTCATTCTGAAAGACAACTAGCTCATTACAAAAATACAAAAACATAACATGTTACATGACTTGACATTTCGCTGGCAACATTCACTAGAAAGTAAATTAACGCATCCACGTAAACACGTGCCAGGAAAGAAAAATTTATTACATTGCCAAGGTAGAAATACTTGTGTACATGGTATTGTAAATGATTTATGGAAATTATTGGAGATATTATCGAAGGACCATGGCCCACATAAAATCAACTTTTGAATTGTTTTAAATTTGTCTATCAGTTCTGTTTTTTTGTATTTTGATGAAAGCTGGCGCACCGTGCCCAAGGGTGGATTTTATTGGAAATAATTCAAATCGTACCGCTTTTTCAATCACTTCCCATCTAATGCCCCATTTTGAAAAGTCATTACGTGAATATGGGCACATATCTACGGTGGACCGTGGCTCACTGTAGTGTTTTTATTTATTTTTGAAATGTAAAGGTTTTTTACGAAATTGGTCGCATTTTTATAAGAGCTACAAAAAGAAAAGTGTCTCTTTTGCATAAATTTTTAATTGGATTTCAATTCAATTTAAATTCAACCACTATAAGGATATGCAAAAATAGTTCTATATTACAAACATATATTTCTACAAGTTTTCGTTAAAAGTAGAGAGCATCTTTTTACTTCGTTTATTAATAACTACCTCCTCGTTTACTTTTTTTAAACAAACATATAAATTAATGAAACTCCAACCTCTTACCTAGGCATTGCTGCAAAATGAAAAGGATTTATAAATTTCCAGTGATTTAAATTACATTAAAATTTCTGTTGAAGAGACGTTTAAGTCTAATTATTGTCAGAATTACTCGACGAAAATTCTTACATTAAATTTTTTCGAAATAGGGGAGACTTTGATTTACAAGATCAGACGGAATTATTCCACGAGAAAATGATCAATTTGTAAAAAAAATTGCCTCAACAAAAAGGAAAATTAATTTGATTGAAAATTCGGTGTAGAATTTTAAATACTGCTAATATAAGAACTTTGACGTGTAAGCATAGCGACAAAGAAGAATTCAACATCCATAATTCAATATATTGTTTATTGTTGTTTACTAAACAAAAATACCGTTCCAATACTGTCAAATATACCAAATATACCAAAAAAAAAGAGGTATCGTTCAGTACTACACATAATATACCGGTCATTCACTATAGTAAGAATAAATTTACTTAAAATTTCATAGAAATTCTTAAAAAAATAAAAGGCACCCAGTTATTGCTTTTTTCCTAATTGAATTGGAAAAGCATACGAGATCTAAACTACTTTTAGTAAACAGGCCATAACACAATACCATTTTGTGAGAAAATGATAATGTAATTGATATAACACAAATCAGCGCTGACACCAACCACCTTTCCTATATATAAGAAAATATTTGTGCAGTTTATTGAATCTCGGCCAGTATTAAAAGACGTATCGTCGAAATAATTTTGGAAATCCAACTGTTGTATTAGCCATCGCTAATTTAATTACAAGTAAGTTCTTTCCAAAAAAATAAGCTATTCCTTCTGATTATTTAAGAATATTTTCTCCAGACATAGTTGAGTGCCAGGTACAAATATATTTATCAACTACTATTTATTCCTTCCCACGCAGCAAACAACAGAATTAGTAAACCTGCTGAAAATTTCATGGATTTAGACCCTCCGCGAAGAAGAGATAATTGCTTACCTCATGTTCGTAGAGAGAGTTGAGGAACTTACATTGTCTTATGGAACTAATCCTTGAGGATTGCTAAGCACCACGCCCGAAGTATTGAAAGACAAAGCTCTGACTTGGTATCGACACAACCGCAATCGATGCACCTCTTGCGACGCCATTAAAGCAGGTCTGCTAAAGTTTTTCTGCCTACCTTATTATCTAGAGAGATTGGATGATGAAATACGTAATCTAGTCCAACGAGCCAACAAAACTTTCAAAGATTACGCCATGGCCTTGCAGCACCTAATGCGGCACAGTAAGACGGACGAAAAGGGAAAATTAGAATCAACCTTCCGGAACGCACTCCCCGATTACATGTAGTACATCAAACGACGGGATTTTAATTTGCTGGGAGAACTTTTGGAACTAGTAGACGATCTCGAGAGTATACCTGCAACAAATTCTAGTACATCTCATCGTGAACAACATCAGACGATAAACACGAGAAATTATACTGCAGCCAATATACACCCCTCTATTCAATGTCCAGCATTAACTTGCAATAACTATAAACTCACGATTACCACTGTTATAGAAGAAGAAATAACTATTGCAACAATCGACAAAGGCACTCCCAGCTGTTTTCTCAGCCAACAATTCGGCGTATTGCTTAATTCACCGTTTGACGAACTAACCGACGGAATACCAGTTACTTTCACCAACGGGTCAACAGTTCAAGTGAAAACAGCCACACAATGTCAAGTACAAATTGGTAATCAGACCGAAAGGGTTACATTTTTAGTAATGCAATATGCATCGGTCTATTTACAACTTACGAAACTTTGGATAACCCGTTTGTGTATTGCTTGATAGTCAACCACCCTACATCACAGGATCGCTTCCAACTAGAAGATTAGCCAGATGGGCTCTAGAATTATAGCAGCATCATCATACCGTAAAGGCAAATGGAATAAAGTAGCTGATGTGTTATCCGACAGCCCGTGCAGACTTGTCAAATAGCGAAGAATGAACCAACCAGCACCGAAGAATGCCACTAGATAAAAAGAAAATTACAAAAAATACGTAAACGTCCTGAAGAGTTCCCCGAATATTCATTTACAAATGCTCAAGTAAATCGATACTTTCCACAACATTTCAATGACGAGGAAGCTCTGTATTCCTATTCACATCCGAAATCGTGTATTAGAGTAGAACTACGATCGTCCAACCGCAGACTGTCTCGGTCTACTAGTACTTTTCGACACTTTCAGTAAATGGGTTGAACTAATCCCATTGCGTATGGCATTCGTCGAAAACTTAACCAAAGCTTTTAAAGAACGCATTTTATCCGGATTCGAGGCTCTAAAAATTCTAGTGACTGATAAGGGAACACAATTCACTAGTCGAATATTCCATCGATATTAGAAGGGGATACAGGGGGTTCAACAGTTCACAGCACTTATATGTCCCAAGAGAGAGTGACCCGTACAATTAAAACTATGATAGCGCTACTTCTTGAAAAACTATATATTACTTAGGACAAATATTGGCTAGAGGTTATGTTAACCATTAATATTATTCTATCCGAATCTACCTGCATACTTAGTTCAAAGAAGGGAGTCAAACCTGCCTTACATATTACACAATGGAGTAACGCCTGGCACCGTCATACCACCGATGAAATTGTGAGCAAACTCCGTGAAGCATGGGAGATTGCTCTCGACAGCATTAACTTGGCGTCTTACAGCCAGAGACGTTGTTATAATCTCCGCAGAAGGCCTTGAAGGCCTACAGTAAACGATTTACTCCTCGTCAGGAGTCATACCTTATTCAACGTTGCTGAAAGCTATGATGGAAAACTTCCCCCTAAGTATGATGGACCATACAAGGTCGAGATGTTTTTCTCACCTAACATAGCTCAGCTAACAAGATACGACGGCGGAGGCAAACGGAAGACCCATTTCAGCGAGTTGCGCTCGTTTACCCTGCCCACCGCTGATGATAACGATTGCTTAACAATGATTCCATTCTCTATCTACAGGCTGCTGTCACCAAATGCAGAGATGACGGTGTCTCAATCATGGTGAGAAAAGCTATACCATTCGTATATATTCATTCCTATGTGAACAAAATGTACGAATAGTGTAATTAGTTTATTTAGATATGTGGAGCTACAGAAAGATGTAGAAAGATGTAGCAAGAAAGGCAAAAAATAGCACCGTACCCGCACTGTAAATGAACTCTGCGTTGAAGGTAACTCTCGACATTTTTGGAATTTCATTATGAATCATTGCATAACAAGACGTGCAGCTACATCTTTTCCTATCTGAAAATAATTAAAAATTGTGTCGACCTCCAAAAAAAATTCTATATTTGCTAACAACCCGTTTGTTTTTCGTGCTTTCTCTTTTGTTACCCCGACAATATTACCCCTTTCTTATCCAACAACTTCTCAGGGACTCGAAAAAGAAACAGTCTGCTGCTCGTTGCGACGGCATCAAATACGACATGGTTACAGCCCTTTCTGTTCAAAATTGACTAGCCTTGCTTTAGGCCAATAACTTCTCATGCACAAAAAACACCTTTCCGGATGAGGGAAGGCGCATAGAGATATCCCTGATACTGAAGCCTGGCTTAGCTATTCAAAAATCAGCTATGTAAAATCAACAATTTGATGTTCAAAGAGAGACCCGCTGCTTTACTTACTGTAATGTCACCTTGTCCTGGTTACTGAGGTTGAATTGCACTTATGGGCGCCATTTATAAATGTTTTAGTTAGTGAGTCAAATAAATACAAATCTTCATCGCTTTCGATGACCTCCTCTAAGTTTGTCAGCTCGGCAATTCCCTTGTCTCGTATTTTTTCTGTACTTTACTACTCACGATTCATTGGAATTTGAGGTAAGTCCATGCCGCATAACACGTATAAGTATTCACGCCCTTTCGCAACAATGTATTACTTGCACCTTTCAATTTTTTTGTTGGAAGTGTTTAGTATTTGACTTTATTTCATTTTTGTTTTTTAGGTTGTTGAGTGGAAATGGACTAAGCCAATAAATTTGAAGGACTTTATTTCATTTTATCAAAAATTTAATACAATTTCGCTTTTATTTACGTTTGTATGATCTTGTTGTTAACTGTATCACTGTAATCAACCAAATGTCAAGTTTTCCCCTTGTTTGCCCATTATTTTTCGCAATAAATGCCAAATGACCAAATCCATACATAACTCATAACCAAAGGGCCTTCATAGTACGTCGTCACAATTAAGAGCTAGTTCACTAAAGGGCAGCATGAAGCAAACTTATCAAAAAAACAAAAACATAAGCTGACTGTTGGATATGTAAACATCCCCCTGTTGAACATATCGTACTATCACGTTTTTCTCTCTTGCTCCCTTTTATAGCCTTTGTTTATACCGGAAACCGTGATCTTCCATCTTATATATAGCAATTGTTTCTGTAATCTTCAAATTCTTCAACCTGTATATATGAACATCTCTTGCAATATTTAACAAAAAAAGAAAAACTCCCTACATACAAACCAAATTAAAGGAAACAGATTATTTCAAAAATAATCAAGAAAATTATTAAGAGGTTAATACAAATTGTAAAATGATGATAGCATTAACATAACTCCTAATTAGTTATTAAAATTGAACATGTCCGTAGTAATAAACAATGCATGTTTGTATTTGTTTACGAAATTCTCTAACAAAAAATACACAACTTTAGCTCATGAACCACATGACAAACAAGCGTCCTTATTATCTAGTGAGCATACGATTTCAGCCACTTGACTTTCATATTTGGATTCCGTATTGTTTGCGATTGATTCTAATGCTTCATCATCTTCTTTGACACTGTTGTTTCCTTCAGCCTTTTTCGCGGGCGACTTGCCATTTATGGTTAAACGAGTTTTATCGACTGTAAATTGTATGGGATTTGCTGCTGGCTTTGTTCTTAGGTAATACATACCGGTTTTCAAACCGGCCTTCCATCCATAAAAATGTATAGAAGATAATTTACCATAACTAGGTTCAGCTACGTGTATGTTAAACGATTGACTTTGGTCGATGAAAGCGCCGCGATCAACAGCCATGTTAATGGTTGATTTTACCGAAATTTCCCAAACCGTTTTATATAATTCTTTTATGCTGTCAGGTATGGTTTCGATGTTTTGTATTGAGCCGCGATGTGCCAATATTAAGTTTTTCATGTTATCATTCCAAAGGCCCAATTCAGTCAAATCTTTAAGCAAATGATGATTGACCACGATAAACTCACCAGACAGTACGCGTCGTGTGTAAACGTTTGAAGTGTATGGCTCAAAAGACTCGTTGTTACCAAGAATTTGAGCAGTAGACGCCGTAGGCATTGGAGCTACCAGCAAAGAATTGCGCACTCCATAACTTTTAATGTCGTCTTTAAGAGCCGACCAATTCCATAGATCAGTAGGCGTTTTATCCCACATATCATATTGAAGGATACCTTTACTAACGGGACTACCTTCATAGGTTTCGTACGGACCGTACTGTTTGGCCAATTCACAACTAGCTTCTAAGGCACCATAATATATTGTTTCAAAAATTTGTTTATTTAAGCGTGCAGCACTTTCGCTTTCATAGGGATAACGCATTAAAATTAGTGCGTCAGCAAATCCTTGGACACCTAAACCAATTGGACGATGACGAAAATTAGACTTTCTGGTTTCCGACAGCGGATAGTAATTGACATCGATTATCTTGTTGAGGTTTCTTGTTATAAGCTTGGCAACTTCTTTGAGTTTGTGAAAATCATATTGTTTATCTGTGGTCACGAACATATTCAACGCAATTGAGGCTAGATTGCAAACTGCTATTTCTTCAGGTGATGTATATTCGACGATTTCTGTACACAAGTTACTGCATTTTATAGTGCCAACATTCTGTTGATTACTTTTACGATTACAAGCATCTTTGTAAAGCATGTAAGGAGTCCCGGTCTCTACTTGGGCACTGCATATTGCGAACCATAAATCACGAGCTTTTATTGTTTTATTCGCTTTGCCCTCGTCTTCGTATTTTATGTATAATTTATCAAATTTATCTCCATAAATTTCACACAAGCCAGGGCATTTATGGGGACACATTAGAGACCAATGCTCATCAGCCTCTACTCTTTTCATGAAAAGATCCGGTATCCACAGAGCATAAAATAAATCCCGTGCACGATCTTCCTCTTTACCCGTATTCTTTTTCAAATTGAGAAATTCGAATATATCTGCATGCCAAGGCTCTAAGTATATAGCAAAAGCCCCCGGACGTTTTCCACCACCTTGGTCGACATAACGGGCAACATTGTTGAACAGACGCAACATAGGAACAAGGCCATCAGACACGTCACCATTACCAGATATCTTTGTCCCTTTTGCTCGTACGCAATGAATATTTAGACCTATCCCACCGGCCGACTTAGAAATTTTAGCACATTGGTCTACAGCCTTCATAATACCATCAATGGAGTCTTCCGGCATAGTTAGCAAGAAGCAGGACGACAATTGTGGGCGTACGGTAGCAGCACCAAATAAAGTTGGGGAAGCATGAGTAAAGTAACGCTCCGACATGAGATTATAAGTTTCAATAGCTGCTTCAATGTCATCGCCGTGAATGCCAATGGCGACACGCATTAACATATGTTGTGGCCGCTCCACAATTTTGCCGTTAATCTTTAATAAATAAGACCGTTCTAAAGTTTTAAAGCCAAAAAAATTATAACTAAAATCGCGATCGTAGATAATAGCAGAATTCAGTCGATCAGCATTCTCTCTTACAACCTTGTAATGGAAATCTGATATAATAGGGGAAGGAAAGCCATTATCTTCATTGCGATATAGATCAGTTACCACTTCAGAGAAGACTTTCTTTGTTTCTTTGTGCAAGTTTGACACTGCAATACGAGCCGCTAAAATAGCATAGTCTGGGTGATCGGTGGTCATGCAAGCAGCAGTTTCAGCAGCTAAATTATCCAATTCTTGTGTAGTGACGCCGCAGTACAACCCGCTTACTACTTTCAAAGTAATGGCAGTCGGATCAACGAAATCCATATTAAGACCATAGCACAACTTTTGGATTCTGAAAGTTATTTTATCGAAATGGACCATTTCCTTACGACCATCCCGTTTCACCACGAACAGCTTATTTGATTTTTGATTAATCATTTTATATTAATTATCTGCGATAAAAGTAAATTTTCCACCTTTTCTCTTAATAAATTGAAGTAAACTTAATGAACTTACTTGCGTTCGCTTTACAGTAGCAAACCGGACTCCAAAAGGGCGATAGTGATCGTTAATGCCGTGAAGTGCAGCCAATCATGTGTTTATCAATTCCGCATAAACGCTCACTGACATAAGGATGAAAAAAGGCGGCAAAGTTACAAAACATAAGGTCGAAGCCAAGTTGACAGAATTGCCAATTTAGGTTTCTTTACAAGTTTTACGATACATTTTTTTATAATACAGAAAGAAATATTAATTATTCGTGGTAAGTTCACACAATAGTTAATAATATAATATTTGTAATTTACTTGCAATCTTTAATATCGCCACGCTTTTAATTTAGTAGAAGATGAATCGGTACGATTTAACAAAAGGAGATTCCGAAGCAAACATGGAGCGAAAAAGTAGATTTTAAAGGCAGACTAGTCGACGGAAAGGAAGTAACTGCACGACATTTTGAAAAATTATTATAAAAATTTATAAATAGCGAAGTCTTTCCCTCCAGTAGTAGTGTAGCGCGGTGAGTAAAATTTTAATGTAAAATTTTCCGTTTGGTTTTCATTGTCGTTTATGTATTTAGAAAATCCATTGTAATAGAACGATATGCCGAATACAACTAAGACACGCAAGTAAAGGCACGTATGTGATTTATTGTTTAAAAGATTTAATATTTGTTTTCTGTTTATTAGGTACTGGAAAATGAAGGCCAAGAAACGAACCATTTGACACTCGCGATCTTTTTGATTCAGCTGTTTGCAAGTAAACAACTTCAAATTAAATTTATTTTATTTTTTTCTATAAACGGAAGTCTAGACTAATAATAATACCGAACGTTAGCTCTTCTGTTTTCTTGTAATTTGACAATTTTGAGAGAACGTATTTAACAACTGTTGTCCTTACGTGTTTCCAAAAAAACGATAATGAATAATTAATGCTGAATGCTATCACGTAGTTGTTTGAAAAGCAGTCATAAAAGGAAAGCATAAGCTGACTTTCGAATAGGTGATTACCGTCGTGATTTCTAGATATTTGACAGCCCTGTCTTTCACAGCACTGCCAACTTGGTATTTGTGCTACACTGCTAGATTTTGTAATCCTAATATTTAAAGAAGTACATTTTAGTTATACTTTCAAAAATTCCTTAATTTCATGTAAGTAATTAACCCTTTATATAATATTTCATATGTTTCTGTCAAGAACTTTCCTTAGAAATGTTCTCTCTTATGACAGCTCTATCAAGTGCTGATTCAAAAGGCTAAACGTAAGAAAAGAAGGCTAGTTCGGATTACAAATAACTTTATTAATAACTGCCTTAAGGTTCAAGCAAAGAACTTAGTGCAGTGAACCTTTTTGCATAACACAGCGGGCCTACTGTTGTGGATTTGCTGAATTGCAGAAGAAGAAGAAAACATTTAATATATTTTATAAGTTATGAGGTATCGGGAGTTAATCGTTTTAAATTATTTTTGGTTCCTAAACATCAATTCGTTTGGAATTTCGCCGAAAGCATTTGCTGCCGCCATTGAACATTGTCCGGGTAGTAACGTACCGGCTATTAGAGCGCAAACTCAATATCATGAAATATCAGGTATATTTTATTACACAAGTTGGAATGAAGAGAGTGTTAAATCTCTTAAGGTATACGATGATGTGGCGTATTACTATAGTAGCTATGTATATTTTGCCGCTGTCAATTGCTGGCATTTAGCCTGCAATTGCACACATGCACATATGACAACTGTCGGCAGCGGTTCGCCAAATAAATGGCCAACATTGATAATGCATTATGGGACTAATGGTAAAAAACAGTTGCAATACAATGGCGATTGGAACTTCTCAGCTTTATGCCAGTTCTTAAATAATGTATTGAAGCCGCTGGAACGTGTACACTCCGCAGATGAGTTACAAGACGTTAAATTACAAGCAGATGTATTAATCCTGGGGCTATTTAAAGAAGCATTTTGCGATGAATATAAACAATATTCGGCGGCTGCTCTCAAATGGCTCGAGACTGATCCACTACGCAGTTACCGATTTGCGGTAATATTGGGGAATAACACATTTCCGGATTTTTTCAACGTTGAGGATAAAAAAGTGCCACGCTTAGACTATTTGACAATGACAAAAAGCGTAAAATCATTTAGTGGTGTTGGAGATCTAACTTGGAATGTTAGCAGCATCATATCATGGTTGCATGATGAATTCAATGGGGCTTACAGCACACTACATGGCCACAGTACACCTATAAACTTAGCTATAAAATTAAAACAAGGCCCGGTTATTGCACTTTTCGCTACCAATCTACATTTCTATAAATATATGGAGCAGATATTGCATGAATCTAAAGTATGGTCAAGGCCTTTCAATGCGTGCAATATTCTATCCATTCAAGATCTTCAAGTTAGTATTAATATAGCGACAATTATTAAAGAATTCAGGAATATAACTAACGTCAAAGAAGCATCGACATGTTGCTACGGCCGGATAAAGTCAGTTCATTTAAAAGATTATTACAAAACCAACATTTTATTAACTCGCTTATTTCAACATGTGGCCAATCCACTCATGGAAGTCAGCAATGACTTCAAGTCGGTGCCTTATTTGAAAAACTTTTACCATGAGATAAAGTGTTTAAAAACAAAAATTCATCATTCAATATCCTTACGTATAGCTCTGGCTCAGTATTTAGAGGGATCTATAAAAGATCTACAACGCAATAACAAATATAATCGTACAGTTTCAGTAGTTTTGATAGATAACGGAGAATATACAGATTATTTAAACTTCCTAGGCATTCCAATAAGCAACCACAATTTAGCGACAACTTTTATAGCAGACAATGAAAAAGAGAGCATTTATGTAATGACGGAAACATTTGACATTCGCAATTTAATGAAATTTTTGCAAAATTTCTTTGAAAACAATTTACCTTCTTTACAAAGGATTTCCGGTGCTTCTTCCATGGAGAATGTAGCTTTTAAACCGGATTTCTTTCAATTAAAGCAAGTAAATCGAATTTTATTTTTAAATCAATTGCACTTTCATAATATTACTACCGTGGTCTTAATTCATTCACAATCCTGTCCTTTGTGCGCCAATTTACAAAACACTTTTCTGCAATTAGCAGGAATATTCAGGCATCAATCAAACACTATTCGATTTCTGCGCTTAGATTCACAAACAAACGATTTGCCTTGGCAATTTGTCATGAACACTTTACCAACCTTGCTCGTGTTTCCCCGGGAACAGTATGCGAATTCCCGCTTTTTCCCATCATTTCTTAAAGCAGATTTTCGTAATGTTTTGTCTTTTATATTGGCCCAATTACCTGCTGTAGATCAAGTAAAACTTGTTTTATATATCTGTGAAGGTAATATTCTTCCTTTATCAAAGGGAAGTTGCTGGCGATTTGTTAGGAAATTAATAACGCAACATATCGCGCAACATCTACGTTATTGGCAGTTGTTTGAATCAGAACGTAGTCTAATTTTCAAACGCTTAAGTGCCTTCAAGGATATGAGTTTGGATATACAACGCAATTCAAGACTGTTGTAATGCGTAGATAATTATTGTAATATATTAAAATTATTGTAAAAAAAGTTTCGAAATGTAAGTTGTAACAAACATTGTATTAAGCGATCAATGAGAAAATTATCTTTTAAAAAGAAACGTCGTTTTTACTGATATTCTTCGATTTCTTTGGTTCCCTTATTTGTCTGTTGCACCAGCCATAGATAAGCATTCTGGGCTTCCTTCAAGGCCGCCAACAGCTGTGAGAATAAGACTTGAGAACCGTCGTAGTTTATAATGCCCACACAACCTATTAAAGCCTTTTTATATAAAGCATAAGCCATTTGACGACGTTGTAGAGCAAACGCCACTGGTATCTGTTGGTCTTTACACAGCGCTTTTATGGAGGCAATCGATTGATTTAAGCCAGCTGCATTATGATACATAGGTAAATACATATATTTTTTATTTTAAGTGTCAAACAGGTTAATTAAACCAACCTTGCCCTGCGAATGGGTCACAGTCAGTTGCTATTAACACCAATTTTATTTTTTTAATACGTAGAAAACTTTGTACTTCCCGGAAACCTATTACAAAACGCCTATGAGCTTTAGCTTTTAGCTCGTGAATGGCGTATGCCCTTCTTTGGAAATGATTCAATTCTCTTAACAGCTGATCGGTTAATTGTACCAATTGAGTCGTTGTGCAATTATCACAATAACTTCCATAAAAAAAAAATTTTCTTTTACTATCTGCTTGCCAGATTAACATAATTAGTTACATACTCACAGAACCGATTGGAATGAATGCTTCTTTTAGGTGTAACTTCCGATTGCTTTGGCGATATAGTTAACGTTGTCAATTGTTGTAGAACGTCTTCAAACTCATTTATCCGTTGCTCTTGTTTTTCTTCGCTTTCCCTATGACGTAGTATACGTTTCTTTAGTCGCGATTTTTTCTTTTTACGTCCATTCTCCCGTTGTTTGCCGCGATGCTTCAATCCGTTTTTTACAGCCGTATCAATAACTCTTTTCAGTTTTAAATGAGATTTTTTTTTTGCTACATTTGAAGGTTTCACAAGATTCAATAAATCTGATGGAACGCCCGATTTGCGTTTATATTTAGCATTTCGTATTGATGCATTTGCTCCTGTGTTTGCAGTGCTGCTATTTTGTTGGATCTTCTCATAGGTTAATTGGTCAATAATTTTGAATTTATCTGAGGATTTGGTTTGTAAAGACCTCTCCATATGTGATTTTTCTTTTAGAAATCCTTACAGTGTTGTCAATTAAATAAACTAAAGCATTTTTACAAGTTAAATTTAAAAGTAGGAATGAATTAAAAATATTTGTTTTATAATAAATAATGATGATTCCCCTTTCTTCCAAGCGATCGCAATTTTTTTTTGCTTATTTCGCTTACATAAGTAATTTCATTTTAGTTCATGTCTACCCCATATCCAAGAAAAAGTAAAGAAATGATTTCGTAAAAAGAAGCGTAGAATACTTTCTAAATGGCCTCAAAATGAAAACGTATACATACATATCTTTTGCAACGATCGCAAAATTTAATCAAAATAAAGAAATTATTCTAACAATACCAATAAGGCTACACAATAGATGTATAGAAGATATTTTTAAATCCCCGCAAAGTAGCTGTTAAAAATATTATATCAAGAATAGTAGAATTCAATAGATTTAACCTCTTAGTGATGTCAAGAGTTATCATTCGGCAGTTTGCTTTAGTTAATGACTTTTTTGCCTTTATCAGGTCCTACAAGCACTACAAGTTCTACAAGAATGTGATGCACAATTTTGCAAATCAGTTTTGGCACTGTTATTCTGTACATTCATCGCTTCCATACGAATTCAATATTTTCTCTTTTTCTTGAACATCATGTTTACCTTTTGGCTAGTAATTGAAGTAAAGTACGCCTACAATGCTGCTTTCGACGTTCTATGTTTGATAAGACACCAAATAAAAACTTACGAAGAATCAAAGCAAATTTTTCCTGCACAGCCGTTGATTTATCAGATAGCAAATAAATGAAGACTGTGGGTCTTAAATTGTGCTGCGAAAAAGTGGAATTAAATTCACTGTTGGGAATAGATGAAATGACTCGATGCTTAGATGGTAGCAGCTTCGCTCCAAATGATTTTTTTTTTTATTATTCGAGAACCATGCACATATGCTTCCTCAAACTTATAAGTTTTATTGTAATTTTATATAAATTATAATGTAATTTTTTAGTGATTAAAAGCGCTCTGCTCCTAGGTTACAAGCAAAAATATATTTCAGGCCAAGTTCAAATATGACGAAGTTTGCAGATCGCAATCTAATAAGAAGAAGAAATGAAAACTTTACAGTTGGCCCCGGCCGACCATATCTCTTCACTTAATAGTTAAGGGTTATTCATAACTCCTTATATTAAATTATATTTATGTACATCCATATTTTATTCATATTTATATTGTACGGCCCGAACCGTTTTCAGCAACATTCATTCTTGCGTCAAAACATATCGGTATACCAAATCTCGTTAAAATATGTCAAAAGTTGCGGATTGTAGCTTGAATACAAAATTACATTGGCAGATATTAGATGGACAGATGGACATACAGACAAAAACACTTAGATCAGTGCAATAAAGGCTATATATATCTCAAGTGCTTCGGAGAGTTGTATATATCTCAACAAACTTAATATACCATGTCCTACAAGTAGTATAGCGTATAATAATAACAACTAAGAAAATTATATTCGGTCGTGACCGAATCTTTTATAGCCGTCACTGTTATTCAAAAAAACGGAAAAACAGTGAAAGAACTACGTTTTCATGCTCTATGGAGCTGGCGCGGCTGACGTTTTCCATTTCAAAAATAATAGTTCTTATCGTATAGGCGTGTGGGTTTTGTAGTTGTGTTCTTTGAAAAGTTTAGATCACTTCCAAACTTTTTTGCAAATTTGTGGCTGATATCTTTATTTTTGGTAACGGGAGAATGTTTACTACCCATAGCACACAGTTGGGCAGATGGCCAGACGAACAGAGGGACATGCTTAGGCGCCTTCCACATTTGAAACTGGTCAAGAATTTGTGTGGTTTATGTTTCGGCGCTTTCTAAAGGTCTTGGAGAAAAAATTAAATTTTGATACACTATAATATTGAGTAAGCGTGTTCAATTTTTTCCGTTTTTGTACATCATCCTTCGATGATGAGTATAAAAATATGTTAAATAGCAAGGAATTCAATGATCCGATATCTGGTTACTTTGATCTCTGTCTAAGAATTGGTTTCTACCTAGGTATCATTTTTAATGATTTGTTTACGTTTCAAGAATTGAACAGTGCAAAAAATGATATGAAGCAACAAGGAATATTACTGCCAATTTTAAACAAGTCTGCTTTAAATTAAAATTTTTTTATCTGTTGGAAAGGTGTTTTCAAGTTTTCAAGGAGAATCTTTCAAAGTAAAATCTTTTCTACTTAAGTAAAATTCTCTAGGGTAGGTAATTTTGTGATATGTCCAGATAATAAACTGTCGTAATTTTTGGTCACAATTATGTACAAAACGTAACGAAAAAAAGAGCGGCTGTAATAACTGAAGCCAGCATGTTAAGTGTAATTGTGTATGTGTGTGTAATTAAGTTTGTTGAGATCTTGGAAGTTAAATAGCTTTTCGTTCTTACGTTGTTAGTTTAATAAAAAAATGTACTCCAATCGCTGCTTTAAACATCTACAAAGTAAAATCTTTTCATCTTAAGTAAAATTCTCTAGCGTAGGTAATTTTGTGATAGGAATGTATGAAGTATATCCTTCTATCTATTATTATTAAGAGCCAGAAGTCAGTTGATTTGAGTCTCTAGACATTTTGTCAAACATCAAACGTTATCCTGCCTGTGTTAATGAAAGTAAAGCTTGTGTACATCTGGTAGACGGTGTGGATAACAATTTTTCAATAACTTTTCGTTCTTACGTTGTTAGTTTAATAAAACAACGTATTCCAATTGCTGTTTTGAACATCTACAGAATGAAATATTTACATAAAAAAATTCGAAGAATTTGAACCATCATTCATTTCAATTTAGTCTGGTTTAGTTTATTTTTTCCCACGCATTAAGTCAAATTTTTAGGTGTCTCGCCATTCTTAACTTCAGATATCTTAGGTACCGGAAGAATGGCAGATAGGCAAATGCAGATTCATGAGAGAAAATGTATATTGTTCAAGTAAGTGAAAATTAAGAAAGTTTTTTAAATAATATTGGTAGGGGAATACGTAAATCGGAAATACGTAAAAAGGCTTAAAAATTATCCTTACTTTCTTCGTCAAAGAAGTTCAACGTTTAAGAAATATTCAATGGGTATTTAAGAGAGAAAAGACTCATTCGATAAATAATTGCAATTGATAAGAGCGAGAGAAGGTTTAAGTGAAAGCTTAAGAAGTTTTATTCGACAACTCACGACGTTTAATGGTCAACACCTACGTGTTCTCCTCTGAACATTGTGCACATCTACCTGTTTCTAAGGAAAGGATATAATCGACACCTACATACTTACATAAACGTCGAAATATATAAAAAATAAAACACTTCAATTCTGCAAGTGTGATGGGGAGACAATTGCGATAGTTGTTCATAATTATTTTCATGTCAAGCCGTTCAACATTTTTTTGATATTTAATTTGTAAATTCCTACACTATTTTTCAAATCATATCAAACCAGGGTATACGAGTATGTATTTTATGGATTTTTGTTGGCTTATTAACGTTACACACGACGTGACAAAGTGAGTATGTAACCATTGTGTTGAATATGCAAATCATTTGGCAAATACTCAAAAATGTGTGTATTGAAGCAAAAAAAAACAATGTTTATGTTTTCTATAAACTGGGTCAGTGAAAATCTTGTGATATTATAATAGAAATAAAAGTGAAAACGACGATCAAAAGATCGCTACTCGACATTTAGTAATTCTGGACAACGACAATAAAACTAAACCAAAGCCATAAATAAAAATGTTTGGTTGTTGCTTCAAACAAAAATTAAAAACCAAAACAAGAAAATCCAAAATATGAAAAACCAAATCGTAATTGGATATCTTTCAATTGATCGAAAGGTTATTGTTTTCTCATGAAAGTGCTCATAACAGACGATTTTGGAAATCTCTCCTTAGTTATTACAAATATAATAAAGAACATATATGCACCAATTTTTTAATGATGTTGTTATAGTGTTTAATAAAAAAACATAGGATTTCCGTACTCCTCTTGTTTTCCCTTCGTTTGTCTCTCTCACTATTTCTTTTCCTTTCTCTTTATCCCTCCATTACGATCTCTTCTTGAAGAACATTTGTGTGCAAATCAAAATCTCTCCGCTTGTTCGCGTGATTGCTTTTTTAATACACAAAATACTTCGTTTTGTTTAGTGTAAAATTATGGCTCATCTCAGATAGTTATTTACAAAGAATTGAATTGTTTTAAAGTAAATTTTAAGAATTATTTTTTTTAGTTGCATATTAAATGTCAACACATTCTCTTACTATAGTTATTGTGTTTATAATTAAAAAATTTTTCTATTACGCGTACATTTTTCAACGTAAAAAATTATTTAAAATTGAGTAAGCATTTAATTGAGGTTACTGTTTTGTTCCACATTTCCTAATGGGGATATATTTGCTAAGGGTGAATAAGTTTAGCACAATGCTTTTGCAGCTGTTTTATTCCGACAAATGAGAGGAGAATAAAACATTCGGAAATTACGATATGAAACTTTCCTGACTAATTCAAAACACCTTGGTTTAAAACAAACAGACTTAACGATTTTCAGATGCCAACTTAACCTTGGTTGGTTAAGAGGTAAATGAACGTACGGTTGGTCAATACCGATCGATAAAGAATGTGGCTTTAGAACGGCGTTTATAACTCCCAAAAATATCCGCTCCGAAGCATGCAAAGTAGTGCAATTGCCGTCTGATTTCGTGTACATTTAGGAGAGAGGAGTTAAACCAATTATAATTTGTTTAAAAACACAAGTACAGAAAATACAACAATAAAATAAAAAAAAAAAATTTGGTACATTTTTATAAATGTGACTTACTATGACCGCTTGTATTATCAGAAGGATTCGGATCGTCTAGTTGATGTTTAGGAGGAATGGCAATCTCAGGCTGAACACTCTTATCTGTTGCAAACGAAATTGCAAAGTTATTATACCTTCCTATCGTGGATATAAAACGAACTTGTAAAGTAAAATAATAGAGATAAACAGAGATTATGAACAAGAAAAAAAAGTAAATAAATAAATAAATACAGAAAGTGAAGAAATAACAATATGAACCTGAGATGGAATTTTACTCTCCCGTACGCTTACGTTTAGTAAACAACGACCAGTCACAAAAATAACTTCATTTATAAATAATCAGAGTTATAGAAGAGAAAAAATATCGTTTAAGGAATTTAGTTCGACTTTTCGACTCTTGTATAAAAATTGGAAACATGAGTGAAATTTTTATATCCAAAACATCACTTATTGTGTTTTCAAACAGGCCAATCACATTTTTAGAAAAGTTTTGCTTTCGTGCTTTAGATTCCAAATTATCGCCCGCAATAAAAAAGTCAATAAAAAAATAGGAACGTTTCTATAGAGTAATCAAGCCTCCATTTTGACTTCAAAGAATCCGAAAATATTATTTTCTGTACTTTAGCAGTCGTACTTTCATTCGTATTCAGATCTTGCATATAAATTTAGAAAAATGAACTCAGTTTAGTACAAACAAGGTAAATATTATTTTAACGTTGTCCCAGTGTATATAAAATCTGCAAGTCTTCAAGCCTCCAAATTATGCAAGTTTTTATATTGGTTATAGTTTTTTTTAATCGAGTATAGCCCAAAATTACCTGTTGCTAGCTTATTAATTAGACTAACGTTTTTTAAAATTTATTATAAGCCTGCAGTGGATTTGCTTTCTTAGAACATGCTCTGATGCGACTAGTGACTGAGAGTAATATTTCGCTTATTTCACTATATTAATATTTATGAAATTAATTAAACGATAAAATTGGTGCATAATCATACGATTCAATTAATATTTTGAGAGAAGGCAATGTAGGTAGAGAGAAATTTTATATACAACAATTCAAATCTCTTTTCTTGCCTTCGTGATCCATTGATTTTTAATTTCTTTCACAGGTAACTACAATTTTGAACACTGGACTCTTAAAGGTAACAAACATCAAAAGGGCTTTAGTGCGTTTTATAAGTCGCCTTTCACACGAAAGTCCAGATTTATTTTCCACTTAATCATTTTTTGTTCCTTGAGAGATTTTAAAAAATATTCTAATTATTGCAAATACGTCTAGAAAGCAAACGAGTAAATGTTTGATCCATGAAGAAAATAAGTTGGTTTTATAGTAAATTTTTTTTTGCTTTTTTTCTTACGCTGCGAATCTCGAATCCTATAAGATTTCACATAGATTCCTGATACCTAAATATCGATTTTCAGTTTAACATGTACTATTTCAAGAATTCTAGAGAAAGAGAGAGTACCGAACAAAATAAATATAAAGAATTTGACATGTAGGGTGGTTATGTCGTAGACAGCTATTATTCGAATCGTTCTCTCCGAGCCAATTCTCGAAAAAATATCTTTTACAAGTGATGTTTACAACCTATCCTTGGTATAACTGTAAAGCCTTAATTCTACTTAAGGTACATTTGATTTTTCTTCAACTTGTTTCTTAATTACTGGCAAGTTTTGCCCCATCTCATCCATATTGTCTTTTTTCGGTGGGTGTCTTCGCAGAAGGTCTTCATACTTTCGTATTTACGTTTTTCGGTTACTTCGTTATGTTTCAATATATTTAGCTCCGACCCGGAAAGAACCAAATAGGCTTCTGGTTCATCCACATGAATTTTTAGATCTATTAATTCGGTCTCTAATTTCTCTGGCTCATGTATAACCGGCTTAGTTTCCTATTGCATGCATTTATAGTTTCGTTGCAACTCGTCCTCCTGTTCGGTCTTTTGTTTTGTAATGGATTCTAGTTTCTTCTGACACTCCTTAATTTTTTGTTATTCTCCTCGGAACTTTACTTCACGAGATCGACTTCATTTTTTTTTCATTTGAGTTTTATTTTGCTTACGGGTTTCATTCAGTTTTTTCATAATTTGTTGAACTTCCACATACTCTTTATTAGCTTTTTCCAACTTTTTTCTAACTCTTCCTTGTTCTGCCGTAAGACTTTAAATTTCTTATTAAAGAAAGAAAGTTTGACATATTAACGTCCAAGTAGGCACACAAATTAAATATAACTCTTACTTTATTTCTTTCCGTACAATTTCTTCCTTGTTCACTCTCTCTTTACGCAGACTACCAGCTTTATACGTTTCTATACCTCCATAGCTTTGAGATAAACTTAACGCTTGTTAAACGAAAATTTCGTCACATTTAAGTTAGCCATACTTAAACTTTGGTTTGCATTTCGCATTTCGAAGGGATATGATATGGGAAACTCGATTTGATACATTTAATATAGATTACAATTAGATTTTTATGTTTAACAGAAAACTATGAACATGTAATTAATTACTCTAGAACGGATAGTTGAATCGACTTGGCGGGAAAACATTTTTCTTATACAAATTGCTTTCTTAAATAAATTTTTGTGATGAATATTAATTACAAAGGAACGAAAGCAGAAATAACAAACAGCTTGAAGGGCGAGATGATATGCTTAAAAATTTTTGTTATCGGTCGGCTATTAATCTTAAAAAATATATATATTTTATATACTATGTTGAAATATCGGAAATTCAATTCATACTTTTTTTTGGTAAAAATTGAGATAGCTTTGGTTTTTTGTTTCTTTTTCTTCTTCTCTTCAAAGCTTCTTTCTTTTAACCAAAGATGTCTACCACTAATCAGCAAGTGCTAGCCGCCCCTTCTTATATAGCGCGTAGTGGGCGGAGTTTGTGGCGAGATTTATGTGCCTATTGGATTTTAGGCTTATGCAATAATTATGGCTACGTTGTTATGCTGAGCGCTGCCCATGACATTATAGGACAATTTCATTATGACGTATGTAATTTGAAGATCGTCTAAAATATGTTTAAGTTATGATAACTTCAATACGTTTTCAAGGATCTATCTGATTATGCCGACGCTGTAGGTAAAGGCAGGCATTGTCATATAGTGTCGACTGGCGCGATCCTTTTGGCAGACATTTTACCATCATTGTTTGTTAAAATAATAATGCCATTTTTTCCATTTTGGGTGCAGTAAGTTAATATATTTGTTTTGTTATTAATTATATCTTCTTTTTTTGTTTTAGATTTGTAAATTTTTTGTTTAAACGGAATCGTTTAATTTGTTATTTTAGTTTCAGGATAGCTTTAGCGGTGTGCTTCTCAGCGACTGGCTTTTTGTTGGTAGGTTTCGCCAGTTTTAAATGGATGGCCTTACTAGGGGTTATTGTCACTTCGGCTAGTAGTGGCATAGGAGAAACGACCTTCTTAGGTTATTCATCCAATTTTAACAAGCAAGTTTTTTTATCGAGAATTTACAACGCTTTCATAATGGAATGCTATTACAGAAATGTTGTATCCACTTGGTCTTCGGGAACGGGAGGGGCTGGTGTTATTGGATCTTTATCGTATGCGATGTTGAGATCACTAAATGTTAGTCCACGTGATACTATGTTGATAATGCTTTTTTTTCCATGCATCGAAGCTTTAACTTTTTGGGTTATGCTGAGAAAACCAATAATTCTACCTGTGGTTACAGTTGAATCCACGGAGCAGTTGATTGAAAATGATAAGCCTTTAGTAGGATTCAAGGAGAAGCTTGCATATATTAAGAAATTGGTGAAGTATATGCTGCCTTTGGGTTTAGTGTACTTGTTTGAATATTTTATAAATCAAGGATTGGTAAGTAATTGAAAAAAAAGCTGATAATTAAAAAACCTTTTTTTTCGTTTAGTTTGAACTCATCTATTTCCAAAACACTGTTCTGGATGGAGCATCGCAATATCGTTGGCTAAATGTGGCTTATCAGATTGGAGTTTTTGTATCCCGATCATCCGTTAATATTTTCCAATTCGAAAAGATTTGGTTAACATCAGTGTTTCAATTTATTAATGTCGTATACTTTTCAACCGAGGTTATTTACTTTTATACGCCCAGCATTTGGTTAACATTTGCTATAGTATTATGGGAAGGTCTACTGGGAGGTGGTGCCTATGTTAACACTTTCTATAGAATGTCGAAAGAAATAACACCCGCCAAGCAACAATTTGCGATGGCTATGGTCGTTCAATCAGATTCTTATGGTATTGCTTTGGCTGGATTTTTAGCAATACCATTCCACAATGCCATATGCTTGTTACCAGCGCCAATAAGAGGCTTAATATAATAGAAGGAATGTATATATCATGTTTTACTAATATTAGTCTTTATTATTAAAAAAAAATATGTATAAATTTAGAATTTGTTAACTAGTTAAGTGTTGTTATGAAAAATGTTAAAAAAATGTTGTTTTCTTTTTTACATATCTACTTAAGGTTAGCTTATTCGTACTCGACTTGTGTTCTGAGTAGTGCGCGTTTTCTTTTCGTCCGCGATTTTTTGATTGTTTCGGTGTTTTTTGTGCATTTAGCAGCGTGTTGCTGATCATCGCGGATACCGTACGTGTTTCCGCTAAATACAATAAAAAAAAATCAAAAAAAAAATCGAAGAAAAATAAAAAACATTTGACATTATCCTCAGTAGTTCCCAAACGTTTTCAAGTGAGTGGTTATATTACAATAACTCAATAATAGATAATCATAAGGCATAATGGCCCCGGGGCCGCCAGATAAAAACTCGACTAAATTTCATCTATTAGCTGACACGTCCCCCCATAGAAAAAAATTAAAAATTCGGATTTTCCGGTGTTGCCAATCAGTGACATCACTCCTATTGACAAAAAATATATTGTTATTTCTTCAACTGATGCTAGCGTAACAATTTCCCAAATTAGATCTTTTGTTATAAAAAAAGCCCTAGATAGCGTTACAACATACATAAACTCTATTTCGATTCTACGCGATGGTAATTTACTTGCACTCGCTGGGAACCCGCGTGCAACCGAAAAGCTCATAAAGTCGAAACCTTTAGCTAATCTATGTGCTATTTCCGCTAAACTGTATGAAAAACTGAACTCAGTTAGAGACGTAGTTTATGCCCCGCGCTTAAAGCATGTTTCGAAGATGAAATTGTTCGCGAAATGGGCAATCAAGGAGTGACTGAAGTATATAAACTCACCAAATTAAATGACGACAGCAAAACACACTCTCTTACAGGAAGGATTAAATTCTAAAAATCAAAACGCAAAATTACTGTAGCATGGACGAAGCACGACGCAAATACCGGGATAGAAATGCATCTGTAGCTTAAGGAATTGGCAAAAGTAATACCTACGTTGCTGTTGCCTCGCAAATCGAGCCTAATAAGCCTTTAACTCTAACTCCTTCCAATGAAAAACCTGTTCTACCATCAATCAAAAATGATATTGCGAAACCAGTTCCATCACACACCAAAGATAATATTGAAAAAACCAAAGCAACAGCAAATATTGAAAAAATTAAAACAACAACACGTATCCTAAAATCTAATAAATTAAATTCCCCAGAATCACCAGCTTTCAACTCTAGTCAACAAGTTACAAGCTGTAGTGGTTCCAATCTTTCATCACTTAATCAACCCTCAATTTCACGTGCGTCCACTCGTTGCACTTCAAATGTACGCAACCATCTAAAGACAGGTTATTCTGCTGGCAAGAACAAATTATCCTCTCGACGGAGACGCTGACATGGCGAGTTAAGCCACCTACCAATCCGCATCCATGTCACTACAATTAAATAAAGTTTCTACTAAAATTCTAGAATGGAACATTAAGGGGCTTCTTAATAATTTTGATGAACTTCCTACACTTAGAAATGATTTTAACCCAACCTCTATATTCCTTCAAGAGACCATTGTAGAAGCTCTTTTAATCCTATTCCACCCAAATCATATACTGGATACGTCACGAATGCTGATCAAAATTCATTGCCCAAACAAGGAGTTGGTGTTTTTACAAAATCAAGTGTACCTCACAAACGCATAAATTTTAGCTCAATCATACAAACCGTAGTGATACAAGAAATCCTACACATAAAATTTACAGTGCTTTCCCTCTATATCCCACCTTCCCAATCGTTTTCTCAGCAAAAACTCTACAATTTATTCTCCGTACTGTACGTACCTATATAATACGCTATTTTCGACTGACCCTATGCCCTACATATAGAAAGTGGCAGCAGTTATTCCAATCCTAAAGTCAAAAAATGTCTCCATGGCATCGGATGATCGCCCAATCTCTCTTTTATCTTGCCTCTCAATGGTATTGGAAGAGATTATGGCATCTAGATTATCTTGGTTTCTTGAGTCCAAGAATCTGATAACAAAGCAACAAGTTGGTTTCAAGACGGGTTGATGGGTCATTGACGCTCTTTTACATATTGATTATTTTACAAGCAAAGCAATTTCCGAACGAAATCATGTAACAATTCTCTCAATTGATTTCGAAAAAGCTTTTGACAGTTGGTATTCATGTTATTTTAAAACTCTTGAGATCATGGAATGGTGGCGACAAATTTTTCAACTACATCAAATCATTCATGTTGTATCGGCGGTTTAAAGTTAGAGTCAACAATCATCTCTCTGATTTCTTTCCGCTAATGAATGGCATTCCACAAGGATCTCCTGTTTCTGTCACGCTTTTCCAAATCGCCTTCAACGAAATTAGTAAAATTCTTTGCCGTGTACCGAGAGTCGAACACTGTCTCTACGCAGACGATGTATACATTTTTACAAAAGAAAAAGATAGCACGAAGGCAATCAACATCCTCGAATCTATTGGACGAGAGATCTCCGCATGGGCAAACTCGTCAGGGGCTAAAATTTCCATATAGAAATCAAAAAAAATTGAACATTTGCCGAAAGCAGATATGAGATGCAGGAAATCTACTGATGCATATTAATGACTTACCAGTACTAAACGTACAGACGCTGCATATTCTCGGACTCACGTTTTCCAACAAATATCGTTGGAAAGCACTGTGTCTTCGGTTAAAAGTTCTATTTTAATAAGGGTGAATTTCATACAGTACGTTGCTTGGAAACGCCATGCGCATATTAACACTATTGCTTATCTTACCAAAATGCCTGTTTTAAGAAAGATTGACTATGCTTTGATAATTTATGGTAATAGCTACAAATCTAATATCAACATCTTTAACCCGGTCTATCACCAAACCGTCAGAGCAATGTGTAATGCTTTTCGGACGACGCCCTTAACTAATATTATAATTGAAACTGGTCTCCCAACTTTAGAAAAGAACAGGAGCACCATCAATACATTAAGGAATATAATTACAATACCTGGCGGAAAAATAAAAATGTTACGGGTACCAAGTCATATCGGTTTATTGGGAAATGAGCAGGCTGATCGAGCGGCAAAGTATGCTCCTCTAATTATGGATGATGTCATAGCAAAGTTGGATCTTCGGAACATGGAAAGAAAAGTTAAAGACAGAATTGCAGAAGGAAATTTACAATACCATAATCAACACTACTCTTCAATTAACCCTCAATAAACTCCACCTATATATCCAACAAATTTTGTGGAAACCAAGATCCAAGCATTTTCGAGAATTCGCCTTGGTCATACAATTGCTACTCACCAATGGATTTTGAAGAAGTCTTCCTCCGCAATCTGCAGTTGTGAACAAATTCTCACTATAAAGCACATTCTCTGCGACTGCCTTAACTTTTCTTTGGCTAGATGTATTGCATTTGGAATGATTAAACCTTTGGACATTCTAAAATCAGCTTCAGAACAGAAAATCAACTCAATATATTACTTTATTAAAACTACTAGGCTCAATATCTAATGCACATTTCTATAAATTAGAGCCGATGGCCTGGGTTGCTAGTGCTTAATGTCTTTTTAGTCTAAAAATTTATTTCATTAGTCTAAAATTATAATAATAATAATAATAATAAGGTTAGTCTTTCAATTAGTCATAATATATATTCACATGACTGCATCTAAGCTTCTCTTGACCTGAAAGTTGTTAAATTTGATTAAACGATTGAGTTTAATTTACTGCGATTGAAACGCTATTAAAACGAAGGTTGTTCTAATGTCTACACCTCAGCGACGATATAATATCTGACATCTTCAACTGTTTTGTTAACACAAAGGATTTGCTTCCTCTATTTATTGGAAATATGTCAACCTTTTACTGTAACCCTCTTACTTAACTGCACTTTTCTCCATCTATTGTATTTATGATTACGTGGACAGGCCTTGTCTCTAATGTCACGAGTTCTTAATGGAAGAAGTCACTGCAAGAGCGTAGAAGAAGCCATTTTACATCATTTTATTGAGATTGAAGGAGAGGTAACACAATATTCATATTCGAAGCGACTATAAAGCATATATTTAAGTATTTAAGACAAAAAAATATCTTTGAAAATTAATAAAAAAAGGCAATACCGTAGTCAATCCCAATAATAAGTTCTGCTGCCCGTTAGCCAATTGGTGCAAATTTGAATTTAAAGAAAGAAAAGTACATGTAGCCTTTTATAAAAATTCTCATTTTAGTGTGATTGGCAAAAATATGAATAAAGAAAGCTTAATTTTCCACTAAAAGTGTGCAAATTAACTTGTCGAAGAAAGCGTCGCCTATTGCTTTAGACAGTATTCATTTTAAAGACATCGTCAAGAATGCGACTGAGAGGCATGAAATTTGTATGGAAGTTATGCTGCATGTTCCTTTGAAAAATTGTGTTTAAACTTTTGAAATTATGTTGTAGACATGATTTTTTTATCACCGGGAATTTTTTACTACGTTTTTCCACTAGTGTGCAACCCCAGAGAGCTCAGAGTAGAACTTTTCAAGCTAAATTATTTGCTAATTCCTTTCGAGCTTTTCAATTCTTAATTTTGTCCAACAATCCATAGGTCCGTTAAATACAAAGCCAATGTTGCTCACATGTATTGAGATTTTGTGCATAACATCAGAAAGTGAAAATTTAAAAGAGTTTTGCCATTTTTTCCAAATTTCTTCACTACTAATAACATGAATATCTGTGAAAATGTATATACATGATACGTAATCCAAATCCAAATCCAATCTTCCTTTAAATAAGTTAAAGAAATTAAGTAAGAGCGAATCTGATTCTACGCATACAAACAAGTTATTATTTAGCTTTTCCAAATGTATACAAGCAAGTTATTATTAAGCTTTTCAAAAATACGCCTGGGAAGATTTCGTAAGCTACTTAACTTCTATTCTTGAGCAACGTGAGTGTCCATTGCGAATACCGGACGACTTATCTATATTCGATTCTCACCTTTTAGTGCATTAATCGAATAGACTTGATTTTTTACTCAATTGGGTTTTTTATTTGAAACTATTTGTAAATGGAAAAAATGGAAAAATCTCATATAATACGTAAATAGATATTCAAAGGGTAAGCGTGAAACTCGAAAAAATCACATTCTAAATGATGATGTTTGGGATGTCTTTCTAACTACAAGTTAAATAAAAGACAATAAATGATACAAAATAAAAAGCTTAAATTAAAAATTTAGTTACGTGTTTTTCAATTTTCAGGAAATAGAGGAATATGCCTGAAGTAGAAGAAAAGGGGAAAACAACACTGACCAAGAAAACGGAAAATGTTGCTCCCGGCGGTGTTCAGACTCGAGTTGTTGGTCCTGTTCCTCCTCTTGGAGGTTTGTGGCGTGACTTAATTGCTTATTGGATTTTGGGTTTATGCAATATTTACGGTTATGTAGTTATGTTGAGTGCTGCTCACGATGTATTGGACAAATTTCCACATCAAGTTAGTGATTTCATTACGAATTATTCTTTTTGTAATTTTTGATATATCCCTCTTCCGGAAGACTCGTAGCGATAAGCCTCACGAGCGAGACTGTCACTTAGTTTCGACGGGAGCGATTCTTTTGGCTGACGTTCTACCGGCAATGTTCGTTAAAATGATTATGCCCTTCGTACCATTTCGGGTCCAGTAAGTTTGCGACCTCTATTTGTCTCTTTCACATCTACATAATTAATTCAATACTTTTTTTGGGGTTAAGCTTCCTTGTTGCTCTGGCTGTTATATTTTCGGCAGCCGGTTTTTTATTAGTGGCTATGGCCTATTTTGAGTGGATGGCTATATTAGGAGTGGTCATCACTTCGGCTAGTTGCGGTATAGGAGATGCAACTTTTCTCGGATATTCTTCGAAATTTAATAAGTAAGTAACCGTACATATAATAAACTTTTAAAAAAAGGTGAGAAATGCATCAAAACGGAAAAAATATTGTTATGAAAACAGAAAATTTTTATTTTACATTTTAAAGAAATATTCGTGTTTTTTAAAGTTAAATCGGTTCTTGCTATGACAGATAAAGAAAATATATTATTCTTTTACGAAATTCAGTTCAAAAGAAAATGATATGAAAATTATTTCAAAATTTGTAAAGTTCAGCGGATTTAGTCGTGAAGGTAAAAGCAACTCATTGCGGCTGTTATCCACCAGCAGTATTTAGTTGTTTTCTATTACTGATCTATTATTATTTTTATATATTTAAAAACCTTATCGGTTGTTCGAATTTTTAAACAATTTCATAAAGCAAAACTAATCGAAAAGTTGCGCAAGCCTAAATTACTGCCACTTTCCTTGAATATGAACGTAGATTGGATATGATCACGAATGACTGAAGAGTATATAATTAATTAACCGTTGGATTTATGTGATTTTAAACTCTGCCGCTCATGATAGCAACGACACCGGTCTAAATTTTGGCTCCGTTAGGATTAGGTTGCAGTTAATTTATTTAACGGAAAGCAATTAAATTGGACGATCTTTTTAAGAAAAAGCCTTGCAATAAGTTATATATCTTTTCAACTTATAAAGTAAGCAAAAGAAGGAATTCATGTTCGTCCACGATCTCACAATTGTTAATAGTTTAGTTAATTCTTGGTTTTTGCCAACTGTTGTAAGCAAATTATATAAATTCAAAGCAATTAATGGATTCAAATTCAAAATAATTCTGTAGTAACCGTTTGGTTAGCAAATCTCGTTTCCTTCCAAATATTTTAAAATAACTTAAGCAATTATTTTGGTTTTCTTAGGAATGTAGTCTCGACTTGGTCCTCTGGAGGTGGGGCTGCAGGAGTTATTGGGTCTTTATCGTATGCCGCGTTGACCGAGTTTAAGCTCAGTCCAAGTGAAAGTATGTTGGTAATGTTAATATTTCCTTTCATCGAAGCCATGTCGTTTTGGGTTTTATTACGAAAGCCGCAAAGAGCTGCAGCTTCTGCAATTACGGGAGCATTAATTGAGGATCAAAAGCCTTTGATCGGATTTGCACAAAAATTTGCATATGCAAGAACATTGGTGGAATATATGATGCCTTTGGGCTTAGTATTTTTTTTTGAATATTTTATAAATCAGGGCTTGGTAAGCACGGAAATGTGTTAAAGCTTTGGAATTAATCAAAATAAGCATTTCTTATTTAATTTTTGAGTTCGAATTAGTTCTATTCAAAAATATTTTCCTCGATAAGGCATCTCAGTATCGTTGGCTAAATGTTGCTTATCGGATTGGAGAGTTCGTAGCGCGTTCCTCAGTTAATGTTTGTCAATTTCCAAAGATTTGGCTTATGGTGGTGTTTCAATTTATGAATCTTGTATATTTCTTCACGGAAGTGACTTTCAATTATACCCCTAGTGTTTGGATAACATTTACCATTGTCGTGTGGGAAGGTTTGCTCGGTGGTGGCGCTTATGTCAATACCTTTTATAGAATGTCGCATGAAATACCTCCAGTTCGACTGCAGTTTGCTATGTCCACGGTCGTACAAGCAGATGCATATGGTATAGCACTTGCAGGATTCCTAGCAATACCAGTCCACAATGCCATATGCTCACTACCGGTTGCCGAAAGAGCTATAGAATGGTAACATAGTTAATATGAACCCTTTTTTACCATAAAATACTAAAACAATATAGGACATAATGTTTGTTTGTGCGTTTTCAATTTACTTGTAAAATAAAATCATTTTGTTGAAATAAAAGCATTTTATACTTTTTTCGCTATTATTTGATCGAAGAAGGAGTAATTAAAAACAATACCAATAACTAACCGTGCACAGGGAGCTTTTTTTTTTGTTTCCGATATGTGATCCGTCAATCCGGAGATATCTTCCTCATCTGTATTAGTGCAATGTTGATTAGAATAAGGGAGGTTGGGAGAGAGGGAAAGAGAGAAGAAAGGTGGCGCAGTCTGAGAGAGGTAGGCCTGTAGTGTTATGCCGAGCATGAGGATGTTATCAGCATTCAATATAGCAGCTGCCGCGGAATTGAACCGGGTATGTCCATTTCATAGCCATGCTTTTTATCTATTAAGGCATATGGCAGTCTGGTAATATGGCAGTAAAGCCAAGTTTTTAGTAATTTATTAGAACACAGGTGAAATATAATAAAGTTTTTGAGAAGAAAATCAAATTTTCTAAATTTGGATTTCGTCAATTCCCATTTTGGTCCACGCGGCAGGGTATTTTTGTAAATGATAATGCCTCCAGTCTAACAGCTGATGTATCCTTGCTTTTGATTTACCGTCGGTTTCTTCAAATTCAAAAACTATTCTTCTACGTGTTCGTTACTTACAAGGAGAATATTTCTGAGATAAAAAACAAGCCATTATCGCGACAGACGGTTAACGCTTCCGTCCTAATGAATTTTGTGTAGAATGGAACGGGTTATATTAGTGACTTATTCCATTTCTACGGCTTGAGGTTTATGAACTCTTACTCTGAAAAGGATATAAATAGTAGTGTGCGTTACGAAGGGCAAGTATATTGATAAAGTGATCAGTCCTGTCGTCCAACGTATACGTTCAAGAAAAGCATACGGCGCATAGCTAATTAAATATTCTTGCCAAATAGTTAGTAAGTAATTTCATATCGCAAAAACGCGATCGAAGGAGAGAGGTAAACCCTAGAATTTAGTAAAAAACTTTAGACTTTAAATAAAGATCAGTATCTTTTTAATTTTATTACATTTTGTTTTATTTACCTTTTTATGAAAAAGCTTTCTTTTAATAGAGCTTACTACAGATTTATAAGGACTTGGTCTTCGTTGCTGACTAGTTAGTCACAAAAATATTTCGTTCATAATAACATCGGAATGAAGCTTATTGAAAGTTGTGCCTCAATTATTATGGTAATAATTCAGACCTTCCATTTAGCTCAGTCTTCGGAGATGGTGCCGCCCAATATTGTTATTATTATGGCTGATGATATGGTAAGTTAAGCAGAATTGAAAGAAAAGGTATAGACAAGCAAAACTTAAATGCAATGATGAAATGATACCCACACTTGAAAAAGAGCAAAGAAAGTTTCAAGAGCAGGAAATGAATTACGAATCATGGCAGATAATTAGATCATTGAACATTTGTTAATTAATATTAATTGTTCGTGTAGAATATATTATCGTGTTATTTCTTCAATATAAAGAGATTCTTCAGGACTATGAATTATCGATCTAAAAAAATGTTTATAAAAGGTAGTGCAGGCCTTACACAAATAGAGAATTCGATTAATAACCTGAAACCTGCATGAGATACGGCTATTAACCTACAACCTAATAAACAAATACAAAAAATGCGTAAAATAAATAAACAAATAACAGAAAAAAAAATTAAATTAAATTAAAATTATTACAATGAACAGAGGTAAAATAAAGCAAAATAGCTTGAAGATTTATATCAATTTTTTGGATATATAAGAAATGTGATAATGCCTTTTTAGGAAATCTGGATATTAACGGCAAACAGGCATCTGGTGCATTGTTTTATTTTGGAAACCCAAATTTTTAACTCAAAATCTTTTATGCTTAATGCTACTGGGTGGGAAATGACTATTGTAATATTAGCAAAATTTCATCGCTTAATTTGCAACGCCCATTAATGGGCCGCATAGATCGTAGTCATAGAATTCGTTTGTGATAAACAAAGCTAGAACTCAGTTCATGTGTGGTTGCCTTAAAACAAACGCGTCTGTAATGTCTGCTAAAGCCAAATCTGTGAAAGTAGCTTCATTCACAGGTTGTGACCTGCGACAAACATGGATATGGATTTCAAACCAAATACCTATTGAAGGCCTATGACTACATTAAAAGGTGACAATCAATTCCCTTTCTCGTATTTGATTTGAAAAAAAAAAAATGTTTTTCATGCACGAAATGGCTGCTAGATTAAGCAGGACTGTTCCAAAATAACACATTTCAATTGCGCCAACTATTGATTCCAACTTGAGTTACGATTATGCAGGCTTAACTGACGTGCATAGTAATCGGGCCTACAAACGTTGAGTTACAGCCATGCAAGAAGCATTTCTTGCATCAACGTAAGTCGTTCAGATGATCCCCACGTCAGAGGAACGCTTTCCTTCATTAGCAAATCAACTCCAATATGCTATTTTGAAGAGGATGCTGAATGTTTTGAAGGCAATCGCGGTTGCTTCAGCTCATTATCTCTAAGGTAGAGTTCAACTTTCGTCCCATAGGGTTTAGAAGTTCAAAAATTAAAAATCAGCTGACAAGATGTATAGTAAATAAGTCTGTTTTCTTTGGCGATATATTGAGGCATCTTTAATTGCTTTTAGTTGGACTTATAAAAACATTAGAAACTTTAAACTTCTTTGGCTGGTTATCTGCAATTTGACGACTTGATGAGCAGTTTGCCAAGTACTTTTAGTAGTACAATTATTTTTATTAAACGCAATTTTCGCTTGTCTAATTTTAATCTACAATCATTTAAGCTATACAAGAGCAAGGCTGATATTTCCCCTTTGTTTGCGTTTTATATCTTTAAATATTTATAAAAATTATTACATTTTTTAATCGGAAATTAAATATTTACAGCAGAGATACATTTAATAGCCCCACTATATGTTTGGTTTATAAACTTTCTCCGTATAGAGATTCGCAAATATATACTCATATTTGGAAAAGATAATACAAAGAAAAATTGTTTTTGTTACTATTGATGTTTAGGGTTTTGATGACGTAAGCTTTCGTGGCGCCAAAGAGTTTATAACACCAAATATCGATGCTTTGGCTTATCATGGTAAAATCTTACATCGATTGTATGCGCCGCCGATGTGCACACCTTCTAGATCAGCCTTGTTAACCGGCTTGTATCCGTTTCATACAGGTTTGTTAATCCAGCATGGAGTGACTGTTGTTCAGAAATTATTATTTGCTTAACTTTATGTTGTTATTCTATTTCGACAGGTACTCAACATTATATATTACTTAATCAGGAACCATGGGGTCCTTTGACAAAGTTCATTACAATGCCCGAAGTATTTCAGGCTCACGGTTATTCGACCAATTTAATCGGGAAATGGCATTTGGGTATGGGTCATAAACAATTCACTCCCACCTATAATGGGTTCGACTATCATTATGGTTACTGGGGTGCTTTCATTGATTATTATGATAAGACATCTAAAATGGAGGTGAGCGAAAATCTTGTGTTATAAAGCAAAAAACTTTTCACCTTTATCTTCACATTTCATATGGCAAATGCTTGAGGTTTTAAAAAAGGAAAATATTTTGTAAACATTCAATTCAAACATTTTAGACTCCCGGCTTTAGTTTGGGTTACGATTTTCGCCGTAATTTAGATTTAGAGTGCGATAAAGGCAATAATACTTATGTAACCGACTTATTTACTGCTGAAGCGGAAAGAATAATTATGCAGAATAGTGGCTCGAAACCTTTGTTCTTACTGGTGACTCATTTAGCTGTTCATACAGCCAACGAGGAAGATCCTTTGCAGGCACCTGAGGAAGAAATTGAAAAGTTTTCCTACATACAAGATATACGTAGAAGAAAATATGCAGGTATCATGATTGTGTTGATGTTTGCTAAGAACGTTTCTTTCACAATGGAAATTTTCAGCAATCGTCTCGAAACTTGATGAAAGTGTGGGTAGAATCGTTTATGCTCTGGATAGGGCGAACAAATTAAATAATACTATAGTTATTTTTTATTCGGATAACGGCGCGCCTACGGTCGGTTTGTTCAGCAATACCGGTTCTAATTGGCCTTTAAGAGGGGTTTGTATGGAAATTATTGTTAGCACAATAAGAATATTTAAAATATTATGCTCTTCTAATAGCAAAAAAATTCCCCTTGGGAAGGAGGTACACGTATTTCGGGTGCCATATGGGCCCCTCTATTACAAAATCGAGGTTCAATATTTCAACAACCTATGCATGTCGCAGATTGGTTTGCTACTCTTGCAGCGGCTGCTAATATTCATTTAAATCAATCCCTGACATTGGATGGCATTAACCTTTGGACCGAGCTAGTCACTAGCAAAACTGATACTCCTCCATACTCGGAAAGAGAAATTGTGCATTCTCTAGACAATCAAGCCGAAATGTATTCTTATAGCAAAGGACAATATAAATATATCAAAGGGACATCTCTTGAAGGCCGATACGATTACCATTTATCACAACGACCTAAAAAAATAATTGATCCTCGTGAGAAGTATTACTATGAGAACATAAGACAGTCGGCCACTTTTCAAGCTCTCCAGAAATATGATGAGAAACCCTTAACCAATTCAAGAATGCACAATTTGCGAGTGAAAGCCTCAGTGCAGTGTGAGGCTAAGAGTCTGAAACCAAATAGCAATTGCAAACCCTTGGAGGAGGAATGTCTTTTTAATGTCTGGAAGGATCCATGCGAGCAAAGAAATTTAGCTCGTCTACACAAATACGACAACATAATGAAAAGTATGCGTGAGGATATACTGAAGCTAAAAGCCACTGCTGCACCCCCCTTAACTGGTAGAGGTTCACCGGAATATGATCCGAGCCGATATGATTGCACTTGGACAAATTATTTGGATATTTTTCCTAAAAATTGTAAGTTTGCATTTTGAAATTCGTTGTGGTTTCTGTACCCCGCCCTAAATTGTTCTATGTCAAACAAATATATGTTAAAGCCCACTTCAACTTTTTATAAACATTGATAGCTCGTCTGAATTGATTTAGACATATTGATTGGGGTCAATAGCTATCAGATTGCTTTGCACTTTGTTTTGAATTCATAGCTTCTACTCTTGCAAGTTGCACGTCTTGTCCAAACTGGCCCAAGAGTTTAGTCTAAAATAAACAATAACATGAAATGTAAATTTTCCATCTTTAGTATTCTTTCTGTTATAGTCGTTTGCCTAGTGTTTCATCTCTCATGTTAGCTATATTTCTTTTCGTTCTGCTAAATGTACATAGCCCCATGTATTATGAAATAAATAAGTCAATGCTATTGACGAGGCCGTTATTATATGTAATATACCTAACATTTTTAGCCTTCACAATTGCAGTGCCATTATAAAATTTAGCGCAGATGTGGCGTGGGTGACAAAAACTCTAACTAGACTAACTATTACTTTTTTTCTTCATGTACTAAGCCAAATTTTTTTAATTTAAAAGATATCTTGCCATGTAACCGCGAGCTACTGCCTTGTTCAAGGATTGCTTAAAAGACTTTTTCAGTCCTCCCTGGATGTCACGGAATATTGTATTTCACTTGAGAATTGTTAAAACTATTTTTAATTGTATTTTCGTTTATTTTCACATACACGTCTGTAAGTGCATATGAAGGCATCCTAGTGTTTAAAAATAAATAAAATCTTTTAAAGAATTATAAACATATATGTGGTTTTTATACGATGGGTATTGAAAATATGCGAAAATGCACCCATTTCTCTTGCAGAGAGAAAGCAGAAAACAATGACGACCCGTGTAGCTGCTAATAGGTAATAATAAAGCATAAATTTTCCATGGGAAGACAAAAATTATTGTGGGCTTAAAGAAAATTATTGTGGGCGAAGATATCAATTTTCCAAAGCTTGAACAAATTAGTCACCGTTATTATTATTACTATGGTGGGCAAACCGTACCACATCTTAGGGGTTCTTTTGTACTTAAATTTGTCTAAATGTCACGTTAGCTTGGTCATGGATGGATGGTATGACCTTTGAAGGATGTGTGTGCGACGAATATCAGAACAGAGCTAGATTTTATTTTGTGATTCCCTCAAGCAAACTATTCGTCAGATTTCGTCTCCTCGGACTAGTCCGGTGGTGACAGAGCTATACATAGTGAAAAGAGGTAGTCCAAGATTGACGGTTATTTTGAGGCGAGCTCAATTATTCTCACTAAAAGGGAAGACTTGAACCCTTTTAAAACCACTGGTGATAGTGCATCGAGTTAAAAGGAGATATAAAGCCTTTTTTAAATGCCGGGCTTAGATATAATTACTAAATATTTCGTGAAGGTATCTCCTTTTTAAATTTTACATCGATGTTTGCCAAAACGAATGATGTACAACTTTAACATTACATACGTGCACACAAGCACAATCCATTAAAGCTATCCAAAATTATTATCATTGATGTTCTTTAAAATTAACATTTCGTGATCGAATTATCTAATTCCATTAGACATTGTTAAGCTCGGTTTACTATTTCTTCCTTCGTATCTTTTCTTTCCGATGATAGTACATCAACAATAATCTTCAAGACCTGTACTGAGTTGGCAGACCATCAACGCGTGCCATGTAGCTATTTTCATTAGCTCAAACAATTTCGGTTAAACGAAAACGATTCGTTAATTAGCAATCAGAATAAAAAAGGAAAAAAAATTGATTATCATTTCTCACTCAAAGTCGTCTTCACCGATGAAATTTATTTTGCGTCATGAGGATTTTGTTAAGAAAGAAGATAATCCCCGAATAATCCTAGAGAAATTGTTAGAACCCAAAGATGCTATGTTTGCTCTGAATATTAGATTGGTGCACTCATTAGCATTGATCTAAGCTTGAGGAGACTAACATCAATTCATCAACGCAAGCCTTAGTTACTGGATTAGAAGTTTTAAGGTCGAGTAATTTCATAAAATTCTGACATTAAAGAGCCATCTAAATACCGGCAGTTGACTCCACTTGGGATTTTCTTGGGATTTATTGAAAAAAATGAATTTAATGTGCGGAAAAGGTGTTGGAAGTTCTGATGGTCATGATGGACATTGGCGCGTATTCTAGACAAGCTTGTAGACTTGCCTTTCAAAAAACTTTGTATAAAGGTATTTTTTCTAAAGTTTTTGTGTTTTCTTTGACATCCCAGATATTTATTTGAGTACCTCTGTAACCGTTGTACATACGTTGAGTGGAGATATTTAATACTTAATCCAAAATATCGGCGCACATGAGTATGCGTGCAATAGAAATGAAATTAAAAAAACACCTTTGAGAAACTCTAGGATCAATCTGTTTAGGACATTTCAGGTAGTCTAGACTAGGGCAAAACCACGAACTGTTATTTTGTAGTTTTCTTGCTGCCAGTCTCTTTGTCAAGATTAGAGATTCATGTATTTATAACCATTCTACACAATGTCGACCATTACGCAGAAACTCCAATTTACAGCAATAAGCGTAAGCTAAAATGCTCTATGAAGTACTAAGAAATGCACGCTGAAAAGATTTTAAATACAATCAAGGGAAAACTATCTAATTTGAAAATATTTTAAATCTTCTTTCTTAGGAAATTCCACATATAAGCTATTTCTGCGGTAAGAGCCCTCTCTTTCTCTCATTCAGCTCCCTGCCTTTTACTCTCTTTCAATCAAGTTAAATCTCATATATACTCGTCCATGTTGTGATCAATTTGGTTACGTACTTGTGTGCTGATTGTTAGCAAATAAAATGTGTTTGAAGTGTCTCCACAACTTTCAATTAATGTTACACCTTCGCATGGAAAGCACTAAAAATACAAAAAAAAAAAAAAAACAAAAATAAAATTAAAGTAAAAAAGAAAAGAAAAAATAGACAAATAAAATATCTAAATTAATAAACATAAAACCATAAAAAAATTTTTCGAATGAAAGGAATCATATAAAAACATTTCAAAGTATTTTGTTTAAAAAGAAAAGTGAAAACAATTGCACATTCATTTATGTAATAAATAAAAAGGTTTAGTTGAAAACGATTAGCCGCATAGATATGTAGGCATGTATTTAAAAATTTGCAAAATAATTAAAAATTAATTAAATGTGCTAAATTATCTCTCACGCCCTTCGTTTCTTTCATGTGCATGGACAAAAGTCCAACATACCTACAAAAAGTTTAATGCTGTGTTATTTGTTATTATTGAATTTTTTCTTAACAATATTATATGTGATTTTGAAATACTTTTGAGATAATTTAAAAATCTTTTGTGAGAACTTGCAGGTTTTTTTTTTTGTGTAATTTATTGGATACATCCAACGATTTAAGCAAACCGCTGATTAAATATCACACAATCGGCATCTTCTACTTCATTATTTCATGAACAATAGAGGTTCTCGTGTATGTTAAATAATTAACGAAATTAAATTCAATTTAATTACATGTATTACGCGTATTTGTTTATACATAGGGGAATTCACTGAAAAAGTGATCGTAAAAAAAAACCAAGGGAAACAAAGACGGAGAGACAGAGAGAGAGAGAGAGAGAAAGAGAGAGAGAGAGAGAGAGAGAGAGAGAGAGGGAAAGAGATACTTTTATATAATTTATCAAATCTCCAAGTATCACTCAAAAACAATACATATTCTTTCATAGGCGCGTTTGAAACAATATTAAATATTTTTATTAAGTAGCATAACCACCACCTAAAACTAGGGCGGTGATAATTTTGTGACGTGACTTGGAATATCTAGCATCTAGAATCCATCACATCCTCTTTTTACAGGATGGAAAAAAAATACCAAACCACACAATTCATATACCATAATATTCATTAAAATGAATAGGGTGTGAGAAGAAGATTCGTTCTACGAAATTTAAGTAAATATCATATATGTATTATTTTACTTTACTCGTAAAGATATCGCTAATAATTTGTCTATATCAAGGAAATAATTATTTACTTAGTTAATTATGTAATACGCCGCAATAGAATTTACTATAACTTCATTTTGCCGTACCTCAAATACATAATACAGTTATGATTCTGTGATTTATTCATTTTATATAATATGTAATATGTGAACATTAATTTTGTTAAATATTCATGTCATGTTAGGGCGAATACTTGCTAACCGACTTCGGTTGAATAGAGACTAGATCTGTAGTTTGAGTGTGGCAGTTGGTTGAGAGTAACTTTTCAGCGTTTCAAAATTTCTTGTAAACTTTCACTCCGATCCCCACATGTTTATGAACGGTAATCTCGTCCATTTTTCAAAATCTCTATAAATTGTAATTGACAACCAATTGAGCGAACATGGATAAATAGGCAAACGCGTCGGCAAATGTATCGACAGATTGACAGGAGGCGAAAAGTAAGCGGGTCAAGAAGACGAACGCAGCTACTTGAACTTTGCTCTGATCGAAGATATATACACTCTATCGGCTCTGCAATGCTAATATCTTGACGTTATAAAAAGTAGCCATAGATTTACTATACCCTCATTGTCAAGAAGACAGATATAAAAAAGCGACAGTTTGTTGACTGAGAGTCAACCTAGGATCTCTGTTATATATTTGGGTCGAATGTCAACTCAGATTTTCTGCAGATCGTAAATTTAAAATTTTTTCTATTCTTTTTACGATTTTTAGTTTTTGTGATTGCATTTGTGACCGTTCGTCTTTTATAGAGTACTGAAGATCAGAAAAGATGAAGAGAATTTTTACAACATGTATATATCTTATATATACAGAAAATAAATTTTAGACAGGTATATTAGGTCGTAAATGTGACTGGGTTAAAGCCAGGCCAAGCTTGGCAAACGTATTCTCTGCGCGAAACCACATATACTAAATTATAATTTTGCACGCTATCAGAATTTCAAAGGCAGACAAACACACCCGTGCACAATTTGCCATGTCATTGATCTTGAGTGCTCAAAGCAAAGTAAAGCGATTGTTGTATCTGATTTAATAATGTTGTGCTACAGCTATTTTACATTGTGTAAATAAAAATTTTTGGCAAATTTCACTGCGAGGAATATTCGCATTAAACGTTAAAGACTGTAGTTACTGAAGGCGCACTTTCCTTTTTAGGTTTTATAAATTTTTATATTTTCTACACACTACAAGATCTCATAAATAATATATATATATATATATATATATATATATATATATATAATATGTATATAATATGTATATATATCTAAATTAATCAAGCTTGAAGGTTTCCGCAAAAGTTCTGCTTAAAAAACCGACTAAATGGATCTGTAGTTCCATAGGTAACAAGCAAAGAAACTTTTCTGTTTCTTGGATTGTATTTTTGGTCATGTAGCATTTCTCATCAAAATTGGAATTCATTGTTCTTATAATTTATATGCATTGTTCTTATAATTTATATATACGACATTTTGGCTAATAATCTGTTGTCATATTCTTGGTAAAATAGTTACGCCATCATTTTAGAAATTTTTGTTGGAAAATTGATCTGAGTGAAACATAGCAAATGGTTAAATGATAGTTGGGACAGTGCAAGGCCTTGGTTATAATGTGCACGCATAAAAACTTCTTGGCCAAACATTTTATATACATTTTTCATATATGCAACACATAGCGCATGGAAATAATTTTCGAATCGAACATCGTATGTGTGTATTTATTTATAAACCATGAAATCATATAACGATTTATTCAAAAGTTTTTCGACACAAAGCAAGATAACGGTACAAATACTAACGTAACTTTCCTCTCGGTAATATTAATCCCGCATACAGCAGGAGGGCAGATTACCTTTTTCACCTCGTTCACCGTATAGCTCTTTGAATTATTATGAATAGGTAGACTTGTTTCTGTATCCAGGGTTTTGAATAGAAAAACAAGTGTGAATTTCAATTTGTGTATTCACAAAGCAGTCAAAGTTTTTTTTCAAAATTATATCCCAATTCTCTGTTGATTGTCGTCCATTTGGGAAGCAAAAAATATTAATTCCGCGAAGCGTCACTATGCGAGTTGCTACCCCTGGGATGAGTATCGAAAATTCGATTTAATATCCTTTGATGAGGCATCTTTGAAAATCGTATCAATCAGATGAAATTGCAAAGTTGACCTTTTGAGGAACGTGTGAAAGAATTTTATCGCTGGAACTCATTAAGTGAATTCGTTTAAAGATAAAAACGCAATTATATGATATAAGAAATGCATTTAGTGCATTAGGCATGATAATCTTAAGATATTTTTCGTTTATAACAAAGTAAGGTTATTTAATTTTATAATAAGTACTTAAAAAAACTTTTAATTCTAATATAAGCAAAAGCGAAACGCTGAAAACGTGATTTAAACCTGACAATCCCTTCAAACCTTTTCGTATAAATAAAAAAGTTAATCAATAATATCGCAATAATAGCACATAATAAATAAATGAATTAACAACAGAATCTAATGGAAATTAAAAGGGTTTCATAAACGAGTAAGATGTGGAAGTTTTTGGTAATTATTTTGTCACTATTAACGAAGGAAAGGCCAGCGGGGGCAACTAAGCCAAATATAGTTATAATAATTTCAGATGATATGGTGAGTTAAACTGTATTCTCCAATATTCTACTTAATTAATTATTTGTGTTTTGCTTTTTCTTTCGATTATTGTTTTACATGAATAATCGAAGGGTTTCGATGATGTCAGCTTTCGCGGTTCAAATGAATTTCTAACACCCAATATTGATGCTTTAGCTTACAATGGCGTTATTCTAAATAATTTGTATACGCCCGCTATGTGTACCCCTTCTAGAGCAGCTCTATTAACGGGCAAATATCCTATTAATACCGGTACACTTTCCGATTTAGTGATTTTCAAAATTTCATAAAACGACTTAAATTAACGTCTTCTGTATCTTGCAGGCATGCAGCATTATGTTTTAGTGAACGATCAACCTTGGAGTTTGCCAGTAAATGAGACAACTATGGCGGTGATATTTCAGGAGCATGGTTACTACACCAGCTTGATTGGCAAATGGCACTTGGGAATGTCGCGCAAAGTTTACACGCCCACATTTAGGGGCTTCGACTATCATTACGGTTATTTGGGTTCCTACGTGGACTACTACGACCATACTTTACTTCAAAGGGTGAATCTCTGATTTTTAAATAATTTTTTATCGCTGACATTTGCCTTCTTCTGCAGAGCGAAAACTATTCACGAGGCCATGATTTTCGTTTAAATTTGGATTCCATACACGATCAGACGGGTGCCTATGTCACCGATCTGTTAACGGAAGCATCAGTTAATCTAATAAAACGACATGACTACGATGCAAAACCTTTATTTTTAATGTTAAGTCACTTAGCACCTCATTCAGCGAACGAGGAGGATCCCTTGCAAGCGCATGATTTAGAAATTGAAAAGTTCTCCTATATCAAAAATCCACAGCGGAGAATCTATGCAGGTACGGTAGCTTTTCAATTTGTCTTTTCTTTCTATTGTAAGCTTCTACTTTTATTTCAAATTTCAGCTATGATGTCAGCTTTGGATAATAGCGTGGGTCAAGTGATCGGAGCCCTGGCAGACATGGAAGTATTAAAAAATACAATTGTACTTTTCCTTTCGGATAACGGTGGTCCCACGACGGGCTTGCATGCTAACACTGCCTCCAATTATCCATTAAGAGGAGTAATCTTTTTCTTATTAACATTACATTCGTATGTTTGTGAAAAACAATTTTTAAAACTACTTTTAGCAAAAAAATTCACCCTGGGAAGGTGGGCTTCGGTCATCGGCTGCTATTTGGTCAACGCAGTTAGAAAAGTTGGGTTCAATATGGCAACAAACATTCTATATAGCCGATTTTTTGCCAACTTTGGCATCAGCTGTAGGCATTTACTTGGATATAGGCTCTCTAAAGCTAGATGGTTTGAACCTGTGGTCGGCTTTAAAATATGGTTACGAGAGAGTTGAACGCGAAATCTTACATAATATTGACGACATAGATAACTACGTATCTTATTCGAAAGGCAAATGGAAATTCATTAACGGTACTACCCAAGAAGGAAAATATGATGACTGGCTAAGTGAAAGGATCGATAGTAGTAGTTGGGATCCCAGGTCTTTGAATTATGAGGAAATAATTAGAAATACGACAGTGTGGCAAAATCTTCATTACCTCAACATATCTCCATCTGTGGTAAACATTACAAAGCTACGCCAAGCAGCCTCAGTAAAGTGTTTGGAAAAAGATCCTGCATTGTTGCAAGCATGCGAGCCATTAAAAGGACCCTGCTTGTTCGATTTAGATAATGATCCGTGTGAACAGAACAACTTATACGATGAGCAGCATAAGAATTCTAAAATAGTTTTGGAAATGCTTGAACGCGTTGATATTTTACGCCAGCAAGTTCATCCTATGAATAATAAGCCGGGTGATCGGCGTTGTGATCCTATAAATTATAACAACGAGTGGACATGGTGGGAAGATATACTAGAAAATGGTGCTACAGAACTTGCATCATTTGCAAATAATCTCAAACTCTTATTTGTTTTATCTACTTTAGCATTATTACGTTGATACAAAGTAATCAAATAAAAATATTTGTGATACAAGAATTTAAAAAATTAAAAAAAAGGAAAAAAAATATTTTTCATAAAATTAAGAAAAAAAGCTATGTTTGCCAAAGTTAACCCGTTTTGTTAAAGAAATAATTAAAATAATTCACGAAGTGATAGACTGTTCGCTACCATAAATCATATGTTAATAAACAAATATTTTACAAAGACAATGAATACTACAAAGGTTCAATAAATCAATTTGTGACATGCCAGGCTTAACATCGGGAATACATTATGCACTGATACGAATTGGATCCCGGATTTGACTTTGCTCGTTAGCTGTTGTAAACAGTTAACAATGTTTTTTCGAGAGTTTGAGAAAACTTAAATAATCCTCTAAAGAACTGAAGAACTTTTCTAACTATATGTAAGATATCCAGTTCGTGATAACGGTTTTTCTCTGCTATTTGTTCTATGTATGTGATTTTATAAACGAAAGTGTACATTTAATACCATCTTTGAGAAATCGCTTTTATTGGTTTGTTCGTTAGTGACATTTTGCACAGGTGTTAGTAATGTAATTAATTTTTTGTTAAAATGAAAGTTCAGTAAAGCAACGTCAATCATTGGCTAATACTTTTCCCATCTCTCTGAGAGTGCACGACTTCCGTATCGAAAGAATAACTTGTCCTTCAAAGCTACCGAAAAGACCCACTTATGAATGTCTTCAAGATAAAAGTGCTGCTTACATAGGCCATAAGCCATCTATTGAATGAAGTAATAATGATAAAGAACAATGTAGCACATCTCAATTCTGTGCTTTTAACGTGATCAACTCAGCAGCTTTGCTAACAATATGTTATCGATTGTTATGTCTGTAATCTATTGTCGCCGTTACATTAAGCCTAGTGAATCCCATTAAATACGTCAGCCTTAATTTTATCAATTAAAGATGTTCTCTGCTTATTATTGTACTATACGAATATATACATATATAATATTATTTTATATATATATATTGCATTTTTTGCCATATGTTTGAAATGTATAGAAATTAACATCTAAGGGCGTAAAGTATATGCATTCTCGATCGTTTTATGAACACTTCGCTCATATTTATCTGTCTTTCTGCCTTTGCGAATTAAAAAATGTTCTCTAGCGTGAAAAACTCCTTTTGAAATCCAGCAATATTAACTCATACGTTTTTCTAGAGTTAGGAGAAAAGATGTACAATTTTTTGATTAAAGTTTAAAGCATGATCTTAAGTTTTAAGAATTTCATATGAAGTTCCTTAAGTTCTCAAGATGCAAAATCTATGTAATTATGCGGTGCGTAGTGCTGTTATCTATTATTATTTGAAGAAACACGTTCCAAGTATCGTATATTATGAGTATTTTACGTTTTTCAAGTATTATAAGTTAACGATACAATTGTATGCATTATTTGCTGAATTGTGACATTTCATCAATTCATTTAAGATTATTGCTTTACAACAAATATAGCAGTTATGAAAGATGATCTTGATAATGATGAACGCTTTATAAACACCATCGTGACGAATATGTCTGTGCAGCGACTCATGTTATTGTATGCATCCCAACATCGTATAGATGGTAAAATCTCTATTGTCGGCTTTAAGGAAATATTATTTTTAATGAATCAGTTGTAATCAAGCACTCGAGCATAACAGAGCGAAGCATTTTTTCAATTAACTATTACGATCTTCGCCTTATCTTTTAATAAATTACTATGTAATTACAATAATTACTATTTAGTGAGACGATTTTCTTTGCTTCGTATCGACATGATGTAGGTGTTCAAAGAATTCGTTCCAAACTGAACATAACTTTATTTGTTGTTTAATACCGGTTTAAGTTATGACGATTTACGTAAGAATGACGAGCAAAACGATAAAAACATTAGAAGCAACTTTAATGTTTTAAAATAGATTTTTGCTGTTAATTTGAAACAATCAGGTACTGTTAAGTTAAACACAAAAGTGGGTTTTCAGCTTACGGACATTGCAGCCAAATTATTTAGTGTACATAACTATAAGTATAGAAAAAAAATTTAAATAATTATTTAAAACGCTTGCATACAATTGCAAACGTAATCGTGTAATCGCGTAATAAGCGAGATTAAAGACTATAAATAAACGCGTACGTATTTGCTTTGGTGCGAACCTTTGATGCCTGCCAAATTAAATTAACATATAAAATTTGTATATTATTTTGCTGATTGAAGACATGTCGATGGCAGCCAAGACCAAGGCCAAGACTATTTTGAATGAATGAATTTAATTTCGTCTAACGTGTGTACACCTGTTTGATTATTATGGTCCTATTGCGCATATTTTCAGAGTGGACCTTTAAATGTAAGCTAGGTGCATAGATTGCGTACATTGCAACAACAAACGTCTCTAGAATCTTGCACTAATCAGGAATATATATACATTAGGGGGTCCCTAATAGGTATTTCTGGAATGACCAATCTATAACACACTACAATTTCCACAGTGTAAAGCAGCAAAGTTTTCAAGCTTTAAGAGTTTATTCGTTTTTTTGTAGGGAGTTACTGATGAACCTCAGTATTGTTTGCGCATACCCTTCTTTAACAATTGATTGCTTACAGGACCAACTTCCCTTTTATTCGAACAGTGTTATACGTGAAGTTTAGTATCTTTCCGCTTTTAAAATATATTACAAAATGCAATCATGTGTGTGTGTGTGTGTTTGTAAAACTGTGTGTGTCAAGTAAGCAAATTTTGCGTTTAAGTCCGTCGCACTTTAACTTGACTGTGTCTTTGTTTCTAAATCTCTAACAGCTTCACTACATATTTTACATTTCAGTGTATATGTTTAATATCCAGCGTTCGAAGAATGGTCGGAAAAGTTTAAAAAGGTGTCGAAGAATAATAATTCATTGACGGAATAGTAAATTTTATTTTCAAAACATAAATCAAAATGTCTCGTCGCTCAAGTTATTTATGTTTCTTCGTCATATCCTTTTTGCTCGTGAGTCCAACAAAAAATATTGATATTCAGAAAAGTGCCTATCAATTTCAAGAATCTAAACAAAATGCAAGACCAAACATAGTGATTATGTTAATTGATGACATGGTAAACTTAACGAAGGCAAAACTTAACGTTTGAAAATTATATTTTCGACTTTTTCCCCTTTAGGGTTACAATGATCTTAGTTTTCATGGTTCCAATCAGATACTGACGCCTAATATAGATGCTTTAGCCTATAATGGAATTATATTGAATAGACATTACGTACCAAATCTCTGTACTCCATCGAGGTCGGCCCTGCTAACTGGTAAATACCCAATACACACGGGTAAGTGCATAAATGGTTTAATTACCTTTTTTTGGGTCATTTGCACGCATTGATAATTACATCGTAGGAACTCAACATTTCGTAGCAGTAAATCAGGAGCCATTAGATGAGCCATTAGATGAGCAACTGATGCCAGCGTTTTTTCGTGATGAAGGTTATTCTACTAACTTGGTGGGTAAATGGCATTTGGGTTTCTATCGAAAGGAAATGACTCCAACCTTTAGAGGCTTTAATCATCATTATGGCTACTATTCGGGTTTTATAAGCTATTACGATCACACTTTCGATGTAGAGGTGGGTAAATTACCTTGAAATACAAAGAAATACGCATTAGATACGTACGCCTCAAAGCCACTTCCACTTATCCACCCGTTCATCTCTCTACCTGTCCTGAATATGCTATTTAGAATCTTCGTTAGGAAGGCAATTCTTTGCATTTCTATCAAATAAAAATCGGTACTTTATTTTTATACGAATCACCAACTATCATCTAATCCTAAATCTAATAAGGCAGTCTAGTAAATTGATTAAACCGCGTCCATATTCCGTCTAACCGCCGCTTCTTCCAACTTTTGTTTACGCTTAATAACTTATATAACGATTATAAACAGGCCGCCACGATCGTAAATAGGCCGCTACGGTTTGGCTTGCTAAAATTTCAAAAAAAAGAAAACTCCAAAATGTTACGGTTAATAACTTGCGTCAACATAATAAAAATATTTTCGGTGAGTCCATTTTTATTAGGTTTGTAGAAGTCTTTTCTGACTTTCCGGAGATTTCCACACTCGTATCGAGCGAGTTTCCCCCTTTCTCCCTCCTTATAATCTTTCCTGATGGCAACCTTGCCTAATGGTACATATAAGGACATTCGTTGAGTGGCTGGTCAAATTTAAAAAAAAAAGGAAAACAAATTAATAAACGACTTCGTTCTTGGATGATAGACATAGACGAGTTAAAAACAGTTACATTTGTTTATATCATATTTTAGAACCAATATTTGTTGCGGTCGTTGTAAAATTACATAAACGCCAAAATTGGTCGTCTGACGAAAACTTCGTTTGTAATAAGTGACCTTAAAGTAAGTATTCATACACTCTGACAAAAATCTATGCTAAACAGCAATAACCATAATAATAACAGCAATAACCGAATTAACAATATCAACAACAACAGCAGCACAAAAGCAATAATAAATTCATCAAAAATTCAAACATTACTAATATTTACATATTATATATTTTAGATTTGCTTAAAATGTCCTCGATCCCGCTTGCTTAATATATTACTTCCCGCTTCTCCATCGACTTGAAGTTCATGTAAAAGGTTTCAGAAAACTGCATTATTTCAGAAGTAGTCTTGAATCAAAACAAAAATAAATAAATAAATGAAGTACGAAGAAATAGTAGACATATAAGAGAGAGAAGGCTTTAATAGCGGTGAGAAATAGAAAATGTTGGAAGGTTTATCTTGATAAGGGAAATTTTGAAACGTTTATTGCAATGCGTACAATTTTTATTTCCAAATGTATATAACACAATAACGAGAAAGGAATAATGTTCGGCCCAAGTCGAATCTTCATATCTCTATATTTTGATTAATTTGATTTTTTTCAATAAGGAAAACAAACTCATGCTACTGTCAAACATCTTTAATGATTCTTCAAAATTTTAATTTCATTGTCTTTATAACACTCAAATAATATTCCCTATTAACAGTTTAGCCTGGCGGAAGAAATTCATTATGCACGACACGGCGACAAACGTAGAAAACTGTCGACATGACTTCGATTCTTGAGCGACGTTAATTTGATTTTTCGGTCTTTGTCCACCGTTTGCACCATATTCACACATAAGAGTCCGTTGCAAGGCGTTCAGAGAATGAGAAATCATTTTTCCGCAGTTATAGGAAAAATCGAAAAATTCGCTTCTGTGTATTCGCAAAAATACCCGCTACTTCGCAGCAGGATTCGAATAAATTCATATTTGAACTCGTATTGCTGAAATTGTTCTAATAAGGTTTGACTGTGGCGAACTCTTAAGATCGTAAGAATCGTAAGAATCGTTTTACCGTTTACCTATTAACAATTTATTTATATAGAGCTTAAGTGGTTGACATATGCGATCGCATTAAAAGATCACCTAGTTAACTTGCTTATTATTAGTTTATGCTATTCTTTTTGTTTATAGAAATTCAATTATACAGGCTTAGACTTTCGCCGCGATCTTCGGCCATGGCCAGAAGCAAATGGTACATATGCCACTGATGTATTTACTGATGAAGCTGTACGGATAATTAAATGTCATGATGAAAGTAAACCGCTCTTTTTGTTAATTAGCCATCTCGCGGTACATACCGGAAAAAACAAAAATCCTTTACAAGCTCCTGAAGAAGAAGTGAAAAAGTTTCCATATATTAGTAATCCAAGGAGAAGAACATACGCTGGTGAATTACTCAATTTATATAGAAATATTTCAATTTAATTCCATCTCGTGTAGGTATGATTTCACGTTTAGATGAGAGTGTTGGTAAAACTATGGAAGCTTTAGCTAAGAAAGGAATCCTTGATAATACGATAGTGCTTTTGTATTCAGACAACGGAGCTCCCACTGTTGGCTTATATGCTAATACCGGTTCAAATTATCCATTTAGAGGGGTAGATAAACAATTATATTCTTTACTAGAATATTAATATAAAAAAGAGGTTTTTTGTTTTTTTAATGACTTTAGTAAAAGGAGTCCCCTTGGGAGGGTGGCATACGTTCCACAAGCTTGTTGTGGAGTTCATTACTGAAACAACGTCACTACGTATCTCATCAGGTAATGCATGCAATCGATTGGTTTCCAACTCTAGCTGGGGCAGCCGATATAAAATTACCTAATAATTTGCATTTGGATGGTATTAACTTGTGGCCATGTTTAAATGGCAAGCACCCACCTCAGCCTAGACGGCTAATTCATGTGTTGGATGATATTTTTGGTTACACATCTTATATGCGTGATAATTACAAGTACATTAGCGGTACTACCTTCAACGGTCTTTATGACATATGGTTGGGAGAGTTGCCGTCACATGAAATTCATCGTCTCTCTAAGTATTACGTAGAAAATGTATTGAATTCAACCGTAAACCGATTACTGGGCAGTAAAAATTTACTGGGTCAACATGTATTAGAATTAAGATCACAAGCCACTGTACATTGTCCGCGAAATTCGGAAGATTTCAATCAATCAATTTACAAATGTGAGCCACTAAGAGCGCCTTGCCTTTTTGATGTTGTTAATGATCCTTGCGAAAGGTATAATTTAGCCCGCGTACACTCATCACAGATGGAAATTCTTTCGCAGGAAGTGAACGAGTTACGCAGACAAGCTACACGCAGCGCACGGATAGCAACAGCTGATACTCGTTGTGATCCCAAGCGATTTAATGGTACCTGGCAATGGTGGTATAGCAGTGCAGCCCCAGTATTTAGTTTTAATAATAATCTTTATTTCATTAACACATTCCTTTCATTTTCTCTTATACACGCTTACAAGTAACAAGAAATTGTGAAGAGATTCAAAATAATGCTGAGACCAATTATGAAAAGTTTGCAATTAATTATCATCGCCTAGAAATCAAAATTTCGATTATTGAAAATTAATTCATCAGGTTTGCCTATAAAGATATTGCGATGCAAAAGCTTTGTATGAAGAATATTCAAATACTTGAGAAGCCATTAGGTTTTCTTCTACTGTGAAGTGTATTTTCTAATTACGTGGTTCATGGGACTTATATTTTTGTAAAATGTGATAACATACATACAAATACCTTTAGTCCATTCATTAACTTGTAAGAAAACTGAAAAATAACCTCTTGAACAGTAATATATTAATAATTAGCTTGTTGAAATGTTGACTTCGTAAGGGATTTGCGACGAGATTACATTTTTAGAATTGGGAAGCTTATCATTAACACAAAATGATTGCGTGACGAAACTTTTAGGAAAAGCTGATATTCGAAGAGTTTCTATAATTAAAAATTTCCATCGAAAATTTATTTAAGAAAAATGAGAAAGGGGAACGGGTATTTAAATAAGAGAAATAATGTGAAGTGATATAAATCGTATGAACATAAACTAATAAATTTCGGCTACTTATACAGTAATTACGTTTGGAATGCGAAACCAATACTTCACAATACTAAAATGATTAATAATAATGCCAAGCAGAAGAGATGACAATTTGTGCTTTAAGTAAATTAAAGTAAACGTAAGTACATAAAGTTAAGTCTTAACAATAAATATTAGCGAAATTAACGTTGAACATAAGTGCTTAGCAATTAAAGGCTTCCGCATGGAAAATCCATTGAAAGATATTCTGATTTAAATAAACGAAGAAAAACATCATTCGATCATAGTGAATAACAGACAAGAAAATATCATTCCAAATATCTACAAAGGTAAAAAAATATTTCAATAATAAACTGGCTATAATTTAGAAAAAATTACTATTACCATAATTATGGCCACCGCTATGGCTGTGCCTCCAATGACGGCGGCATGATCTCTCATAAAGCTAGTAGTTACATATAAGCAACCTTGACTATATAAATTTGTAACACCTGGTAATAAGGTGCATTCTTTACGTTGGCCACCAAATATCTCCTGACAACACGATTCCGGTATGAGACGATTCCAATCATGCCAGGAATCAACGCCACAGCATTGAAGTCGTTCTTGCGTTTGATCCCAAGATTCAGTTATATCACGACGGCTACCATACAAGCTCATAGATGATCGCAATTTCTTAAAGTAAAAGAACAATCAATTAAATTACATGATGATATTATATCATATTACTCAGTTAGGCACACCTGTCTCATAGTCTGTTGTACTCGCTCTCTAAAAACGAAACCCAATATACCACCGATAAACATAGTAACAAAAATCAACACTACTATAATAAAATACTGAAAAATTATAATTTTTATGATTTAGTTTGGAATAAAAGATGAAAAAATAAATTATCTTACGGTTAGCAACAAACATTTAACTTCTTTGCTCGCACCTACACATCCCACGAACGATAATACACATATAGTCAACGAGGTTACTAACAAAACGTAAACTGCTCCCGAAAATAAATTTGTATCCAACAAATCATTCATAAAATTACGATCCACTAGGGTCCATAAACTTAGGCAGAATAGCGTTGCGCCACCGACCTGACAAAGTTAAGAAATAATACAGACATTCTGATATCCCCTTCAATTCTTTTGTAGTTCATTAAAAAAATAAAACCTTATAATTACTTGCGAAATTATACTTACAAAGATTATAAAATTTGAAACGATCAAACTGTACTTGACGAACTGCCTACAGCAATCCATACGCGAACCAAATCCCATTTTGTCGTCGTCCTAGAAAAAGGAAGGAAATAAAACATCGCTTAGGGGCTGTTAAACAAAACCATAAGACTTCAATTTCTAAGCGCGTTAAAGCCAACGAATGAACTATGACACAAACTTGAATGAATTATGAAATATTATTAATTGATTATTTCCCTTTCTCACCATAAAGCAGTTCACTTCAAGTTTTCAAAAAAGTTTCTATTCGTCTTACTAAACTGTGGCAGCCGTCGTAAAGTTGTTGTTAAGTAAAACTTTTAAATTGTACGCAAATGTTTGTTTTATATTAATTAGATAAATCGTGGCATCAGCTCATCAGATGTGTCTGATGATTTTTTCAACTTTCAATCGTTTTAAATGAAAAACAAAGCGGCAGTGCGAATAAATTAAATCGATTAAATTAAATAAATTCTGCACGATTTTGTTATCATTATTAACAAAATTAATGATATCAAATTATTTTTAATTCGATATGAATTCCGAAAGAGGAAAATATTAAACGCTATTCCGCATTATTGTCCTATTTTCATTTAATTTTATGATTTATGTAGGGAGAGGAAAAGCTTATTAGAGATTAGAAAACTGGTGCGTTCTGCAAGCAATGCGCACCACAAACATTTTAGTTATCCGTGGAAAGGTATAAATCGATTATGATAAGCCTTTAGGAGCTTGACCGACATTTTACGAAACAAGGTTAATGCAAATCTTATATACAAGCAAAATCTAAATGCGTTTAAAAAAGTTTGCATACATTTGTTTGCAGCCATTATAAAATTCTAATTACTTTCAAATATAGGGGAATATTCTCTTGGACCTCAGACGGAAGCTCATAAAATCCAAGCAATATAAAATCGGTCCTTGGTGGTAACTATTAAATTAATTTTTGAGTTTTTCTTAAACAAAAAAAGGAAAATTATATTGAATCGACTTCTTTTAGTAGAGAGCTACAACTTTTTCAAACTGAATGCGTAATTTCGATTCTTTCAAAAACCTAATAAGTAACCGAATTCAAGTAACGCTGAGGTTATAGCGAGTTTGGATTTAAATTTTTAACTATTAAAAGTTCACCTCACTTTTTATTTATTAAGTGGCAGATGGTTGAAAGTTCACACCTCATTAAGGATGTGCTGAAAATTATGATAATGATGTTATATAACTCGATCCGCATGCCTTTAATATGTAAGATGACTCGCACTAGACGGCGGTATATGAATTAATCCAATTTTCGGCTTATAAAACCAAAAATTTACAAAATATTGGTTTTTATTAGAAAAAAGAAAAAACTATGAATCATAAAACCAAAATCTTGAATGATTATTGAACAGGGCTGCTAGGTTATATTCTATGTAAGGCTACTAAAATTTTAATTTATAATTAATTAATAATTAAAAGCTTAATATTAAAAAATTTAAAAACTTGTCGATCAAAAAATTTTTAAAATGGTTTGATCAAACAGATAACAGCTAATGAATATGAGAAAAAGTTACAGGAAAAGCTTTTGCACATGCTCAAATGGATGTTTACCGCTGTTTGATAGTTAATGGAATAACAAGTAGGTCAGGGTTAAATGTATTTAAAAGTTTGCCAGTCAAATAATAGTGAATAGCAAACAATTACTTGAAATATTTTCATATTCTGTGAAGTTTTTTGAAGCTTTGATAAAATCAACTGCAATGGAATTTAACAAAGTATGTGTTATTTCGTTTACAACCTCTGAAGTTTTCATTTCAAGCAAGCAATGTACGTATGCATAAGCGCTTGAGTAACAAACGTTGCTCCCAAAGATCAGATAATATTTTACATACTATATACATATAGCTGATGTTTATGGTGTATCTGATATCTATTGTCAATAATGTAAAATTTGTGAAAGATGAGAGAAACGAAAGAGACTTATATGCCCGTAAACATCCTTTAGCTAAATCAAGTTACAATGAAAATCAGTTTTTTAATCGATATAAATCTTACGTAAGATATTTGTAGCTCAGCATCTTTATCTCATGTCGTAAATTATTGCAATTGACAACTTGAAGTGTTCGCTTTTCTTTCACCAATGGTTTAGTTGTCATACAATGAGCGGACTTGTGGGCGACATGTTTCACTTTCCACTTTTGAACGTAGTTTTGTGACCTTGCAAAACGCAACAATAGGAAATCACCATATACGATTCGCTGGTCATTGAATTTTGAAATAATCCATGTTATAATCGCTTAGACAGTAAATAAAAAATTGGAACAACCCTTAAATAGCAGAAAATGAAGTATATGCATGCAAAATGATATGAGTAAGAATTTAGTCTCAACTTACACCGAATATTTTAACTCCCTACAAAGAAGTTGAGCCTGCCGATATAAGTGAGTAGAACACATTCATTGTACGCAGCACCATGTACTTTGTATATCTTAATAATTGTACAAGCAAGCGTTACGATTACATTTCTATATTCTAATCTACTTTTTAATTGCTGGCCCGGGCGTACTTTTGACAATAGAGTAGCAATTTCAAATTTAAAAATCCAGTAGCATCCAATTTATATATTCCTATTATTTAGAAAATTTGATGTATCGAGTAGTGAAGAATTTAATGTAATTTACGCATATAAAAATCGTAAATGCTTTTGATTTTACACAAAAATGTGTAAACGGTTTTGCGATACACTTTTGATTTTTAGCTCTTCTCGACAAGTTGCTTCTTCTCTTTTTTGAAAATTCGATCTATAGAATGAGAGATGTCAAGAATGTAATTTCGAAAACTCTGACAGCAGTTGAGCAGGCTTGGAGACATATTAAACTAAATTGATTTTCAACTATAAGTCTTAATACGCGAGGTTCTTTATAGTCTTTTTAGTGTTTCTTTAAGTCAAAAATACGATGCATCTTTTTATGGATTCGTTCACAACAGCGAAAGTTTTTAAGTTAGATATCTGAGCTTAGATATCCATGAGCTATTATTTTCTTAAACGTTATCACTCATCTTACGTTAAAATTAGACAAGATGGTATTTTACGTGCAAACGAAGTTAATATGTGGGTTATATTTTGTTAGACATTTATTACATAACATATATGCAAAGAACTCTCGGATAGAAAAGTAGATAAGCATCGCGTCTACCAAGTCGGTGCTCACGCGGGTTCAAATCTCAGTCGGTTTGACCATACTTCGTTGTGGCTTATTAGTGAATGATCAGTCGGCATAGCACTTAACTATCCCCTACACTGCAGCCACCACCGACTTCCCCTGAAAGTTTAGTTTGAGAATGCATTACATTTTTATTTTAATAAAATGATCAAATATTATAACCTATGACTTTTTATAAGCGTGTTTAAAATTACAAAGAATATAATAATAATACTGTGAACAAGCCATAAAATTTTTTTTTTATGGTCAGAGTTTGTTTTCCTTATTGAAAAAAATCAAATAAATCAAAATAAAGAGATATGAAGATTCGACTTGGGCCGAACATTATTCCTTTCTCGTTATTGTGTTATATACATTTGGAAATAAAAATTGTACGCATTGCAATAAACGTTTCAAAATTTCACTTATCAAGGTAAACCTTCCAACATTTTCTATTTCTCACCGCTATTAAAGCCTTCTCTCTCTTATATGTTTACTATTTCTTCGTACTTCATTTATTTATTTATTTTTGTTTTGATTCAAGACTACTTCTGAAATGATGCAGTTTTGTGAAACCTTTTACATGAACTTCAAGTCGATGGAGAAGCGGGAAGTAATATATTAAGCAAGCGGGATCGAGGACATTTTAAGCAAGTCTAGAATATATAATATATAAATATTAGTAATGTTTGAATTTTTGATGAATTTATTATTGCTATTGTGCTGCTGTTGTTGTTGATATTGTTAATACGGTTATTGCTGTTATTATTACGGTTATTGCTGTTTAGCATAGATTTTTGTCAGAGTGTATGAATACTTACTTTAAGGTCACTTATTACAAACGAAGTTTTCGTCAGACGACCAATTTTGGCGTTTATGTAATTTTACAACGACCGCAACAAATATTGGTTCTAAAATATGATATAAACAAATGTAACTGTTTTTAACACGTCTATGTCTATCATCCAAGAACGAAGTCGTTTATTAATTTGTTTTCCTTTTTTTTTTAAATTTGACCAGCCACTCAACGAATGTCCTTATATGTACCATTAGGCAAGGTGGCCATCAGGAAAGATTATAAGGAGGGAGAAAGGAGGAGACGCTTTTTGTATACAGTCAATACGAATCTGAAAAATTGGGAAAGACTACTATAAAATTTGGAAACTAAATAATTCTGAGTTGATGGTGCCTTCTCCTTGTCAAGAATTCCAACTCTCTCAAACGTTGACAACGAGACGAAAAGCGAAGAATTGACGCAAATATTCGCATTCGATCAAGTTCTTTTCTTAACCGGACATAAAATTTTGGAGTGGAATAACTTGGAATGCGGAATCCCCCTATTGTAGGTGCTTTTCTTTAAAATTCAAAATATATATGAATATAGAATATAGCAAAAAATCTCAAGCTCTCCTGTTAATTTTAACCGCGTTATTGGCCTAATTTTTTAGAAAAATTTTGGATGAGATTACTGAAAATTTATTTTCGAAATCCAATCTACTCAAAACTGCTAGCTTCTATAGGATTAAAATATTTTCTGTGTTTTCTTCCTTTTGTACGCATTGTGGACAGATGACGTCAACTTGAAATTAATTTTTTTTGGGATGAATAGGCGAATACGGCTAAATTGAGGTAGAATAATACGCACTAATCAAAACCAGTTATGCCTTCTGCAGTATCCGATGCAGATGTCAACATATTACGAAAATACAAAAATTATGTGAATCTATACTGGGATGATAGATTTAGTACATTAGCATACACTTTAATACTGAATAGAAGTAGACAATACTTGAGGGAAATTGAATTATATTTTATTATTGACTCAGGCAGAATATTATTTATTTATTGCTTTCATTTTCATGAAGTTTGTACTTTGTTTATTTAATTTGCATCTAAATTAAATTAAATTAAATATTTTAGTCAGCAATTGATTATCTTTCACTTATTCTATTATGTTTTGGTTATTGGACTTCGTTTAAAATAAAAAAAAATTGTTTGAACTTATTGTTAAAATAGCAAAGAAGTTTTTTTTTTCATCTCTAACTTAGCGTCTCGAAGGTTAAGAGTTATTTTATTAAGAATTTTTCGCTTCCTTTTTATATCATTCATTTTTTTTCGTGTTCGTCTTGAATCAGTTGAATAACATTTTAATACTCTGAAAACTAGTTTTATTACAACTGAACCAACTGAACCGTTAAGCAAATCAACTTAACATTTGATTGCTGTCGCCATTGCCGTTCTTGTTGTGCAAGAATGTTGCCTTAATTCTCAAGTGTTTCTGAATTTAACAATATTTGAAAAAAAAATTGAAATAGAAAAATTATATTTTTGCAAAGAGCGGTTAACTGTTTCCATTACTTGATTTCTTCTGTAAATTTTATATTTTACAAAGGTTAATTGGATAAAAGAGAACTAAGAAGTGTTTATGTTTATACATATATGTACATATGCGTATACAAATATATATAAATATATATATATATATATATATAAAAAAATACACGCACACACATAGGCACCTCTCCCTTTTTCTTTTGTTTCACAAACACTGTTAAATTATTTTATGTACAGTAAATTTATTTTTTCTTTTTGGCTTTGTCTATTTTGTGCGATATTAATTCCGACGTGATGCGTTAAAGTTAAGCGCACTGCTCGATCTACTAGTGGGAACAGCTTGACTGTCTGATATGCTTTTTGGTGTGTTTTTTTATTAACATTTAACACAGAGCTTGGCTTTATTTTCAAAAGAGTTCGAACATTAAACGTTGAATTACTTCATACAAATCAACCACTACATGCTTACATTGCGTCTGCCTGTAAGCATACAGCTATAAACGAATATATGTTATTTACTAACTTTCATTTAAACCTTTACATACTAACGTTTCCAAAATAATAGTATGATATTTCGGGTCTTTTTAGTTGAGCATCAAGCGTAGCGGTTATATCCATGCTTGTCAGAGTATTTGTAAGTATGCAACCATGAGCACAGGAATATTGACAATTTCAATTAAAACGTTCAGTAAAGTAAACCGTAATTGTAAGTTTGCTCTTAAAACAGTGTTGACAAAGTGAAACATAATTAGTCAACAGATTATATTTATCAACACGCATTTTACCTCACCACCCACTTTCCCTTATCATTCCACCCTACGCTCTGTGAGGTACAGCACATACTAAGCTTATGAGAGATATATAAAAGTCAGAAGAACTTAAGGTTTCCCATCGGTCCATAATACATGCCTGTCTATATGTCCTTGAGACATCTGCCTACATATTCTTATGTCCAAGATACAAATCGTATCTTTTAAGATGTTTAGACGAAGCTTGGTACCCTTACCTCGACAACTTAGGACCAACTCTTTTGGAAATGAATTGGATTGGACCAGTTTTCGAACCATTCTCCGTATAACATCTTATTATGAACAGCGTTATGTGTAAAAAGTTACATTATTCGAAATATTTCCATCAAAACCCGCCGTGCATAGTATTTCGGAACTATAAATTGATGTAAAAAATTTGCATGAAACGCAATTATTGGAACCCTCTTCCATATAACCATTCCCACAAAAATAGGTGAAGAATAATAGAATCTTTAAAAAGAAAATTAAACTTACTTAAGTTGGGCCACGCTAGTTGAAGTTTTGGGTGTTCATGAAAAGTATACTTTAACCTGAAAGAAAAGCATTAAGTAAAGCATATTACGAAAGTGACGAAATAATTGTATTAAGCACAACGGTTCAGAATATTTCTTGGTGGTCCTTCCTACAGGAATAAAAAGTTTTTACCTGTTTTTCCTCTATAACTTTTATACTTTCTATACTACTTTTACTTTCCGTAAAATTACAGATCAATAAAATCAGCCAAAGAATATACAGTACTTCAAGATTATCACGCCAAGTGGGTATGCATGTGAATGGACATGGAATTAAATTGTGAATCCAGATGCTTGAGGGCTTAAAGTGAACGAGTAAGCAGAAGGGTGTACAAAATACAAGATGAGGGTCCAGATAAATATGAATAGTCCAACTGAGAAGAGATGAAATCAATATTTTGCTTACTATAGTTATCGTTGTGAATGCACCTTACCCAAGAGTGACATCGTCATACTAAATATCTCATTTCGTTTGTAGGTCCTGAGAATTCCCCTAAACTCTTCCGTAACTACAATAGATGAAAATTTTAGCGTGATATGTCAAATTCACGCCCACGATAACTAAAACACTACAAAGCTAGAAAAAAGAAACTAAAAGATTATAATCGCTCGAGGTCGACCATTAAACGCATTAAGCCAATTCGTTTAAAGCGATTCTTCACCTATTTCCACCAAAAAATGTTGAAAAGCGTACTTTGTTGCCACATAAAAAGTTATACTCTGTGGTAATTCGTGTATGGGAAGAGATTTGAAAAAACGCACCTACGTAGTCCAAACATAACACAATGAATATGTATTTCAAACAGTTATACATTGGGGTCTACAATTAGGATCATACATTAGTAACAATTAGATCTTGTTGGCATGTGAAGACTTATTTTTTACAAAAACTCTTATATGGGAGGAAATTCAAAAAATTGATCTATTCGATCCAAAATTTCCACATTTATTTGGTATTCCAAAATATGGTTTTTTGCCGATTTTCGTTTAGGAAGACAACAAATAGAACATTTTTGCAAATAATAAAAATAAATCGTCGTATGGGTCGTCAAAGTTCCTCAACATTGTCTTGGGGTTAGGCCAAAACACATCAGTGCACGGAATTTCATCAAATCGATTCAGAAAATGGGTAGAAAATGATTCTGAGTCGACCGCTATAATAAAAGGTGGATTTTAAGTCCTTCCAAGTATTGCACATATCTGCGCAAACTTAATTTACCATTATTTCAAATATTATCTGCTAAATGCTACTAAAATTATTAGTTTAAAATTCGACTTTAATATATTGAGGAATTGCCTGCTGTATCGATTAGCTCCATCTATTAATTCAGTTAAAACACTTTTTAACAAGCAATTAAAGCTTAAATATATATGAAGAGCGTTTTCCATCTCTACTCGCACGAAGCATATTTCTATTTCAAATAATAATGGCAGTTGCTTGCATTGATATTCGCAAAAATTAAAATAACGGCTTAAAATAATATAAAGGCATTGAAATGAGGTAGAGAGGTATGGGGTGGCCACTAGTCTAGTGGGTATGTGCCCCATCGACAAGTTTTAGCGCACTTGAGATTCAAACTCACAAACTTTGACTTGATAGTCGCGGATCTCGGCTCCTCGGGTCTTAGGCCTTGAAACTGAGTTCAAATTTTTTAATTATAATAGCATTCTTACTGAAAATTATTACTTTTCGCAGTGTCAGTCTCATTGTACAATTTTCTTTATATAATTCATCACAAACATTTCTTATTTAACTTTAACAGTTTAGTGTTAATCTTAACATTAAATATGTATTGATATAATTGAATAATTCAGTTAATTATGAAATTTAAGAAAACAAAGAGCAGTCTTTTAAAAATTTCAAATGAATATTTTTTTGTGCAACCAAAATAACTAAATTGTGAGCACATTGTGAATATATAAGCCGAAGACGTATTCCCCAGACTGATTAACATTTATTCTTAATTTTTTGCGCTTCCTCCTGAAGGCTTTGAAATGAAATTTCGCCAGAAATTCAGAGTGAGCCTGAATTAAAGGAATTAAATTATAGATGGGTGATTAATTTTACACGAAATGAATGCAATAAAAGTAAATATTAACTTGTGGAATACACGTTATATTTCATTTTTTTTGCGCGAAATGTTTTAAGTTATAAATTAAAGTTTCCCAGTTGTAAGTGATTATATATGTCTTATTATTATATTATTATTATTATTATTATTATTAATTTCGCCAGAGAAATAAATTCTAAGACTAAACTCTTAAAAGCACTAGCATCTAAGGCTATCGGCTTTTATTAAAAACTCTACCGCACTTGAGATTCGAACCCACGACCACTGAGTTGCTAGTCGAGACTCTTGCCTACTCGGCCACCCAGGCGGATATGTCTTCTTACATTTAAGCTAAGTGTAGAAATCGCTTCCATAGCGAACTGACAGATCCACTTACTTTAGGGTGCAAACTACCTCACCGTCGTCGAAAAGCCGTGAGCTTCAGTACATCGTCAAGAAATCTCGTTCGCAGGCGTCAAGGTTGGCGAAACAAAATTTCGATTGGTGATGGAAAAAAAGTGTTCAAATAAGAAACGCTGTGTTGCAATGATCAACGTTGGAAAAGTTTAACAAACTTAAAATGTCTCCATTTTCCCATGGGTTTGAACAAGATAAGACACAAAAAAGATTCATGGATGTTGTACAAGATAATTGCAGGTTTTCGAAATTTCTTAATCAACCAAATACGCAATTTTTTAAAATGTGCATGTTTTCGAAAGCGGCCACCTAGTGTATTAACCATATTCATAGTGAATCCACGCAATCGACGACTAGCAAAAAGCCATGGTAATACTCACCCATTCTACATATAATTAGGAATTATTGAGAGTAAATTTATGATTGCCGGAAGGTTATGAACGACTTGATTCACACCGTTCCCTTTCAACAAATTGTTGTTGTTTTCTTTGCGAAGGATATTCATTTCATTCATTTGTCCTTGCGAATATTTCTATCCTAGTCAAGATTAGATCTGCTTCATTGGAACCAGAGGAGAAGTAGGATAATAGTATGCAGCAATTAGAACCAAAAGCGCGGTCCAGCATTTACAATCACGTCTTTAAAGATTTTATGTCCACCACCTGTATACTTCTCATTTATGGATTATCTGCAACACGTAGGCTTACATAAATGAAAGAGTCAGAGCTGCGACCCCAAATAAAACAAGCGTAAGTAGGGCTTGCCTTTTTCTTTATAATACAGTTCACCTTAAATATATTAAAATTTCTATAACAAGCTTAAAACTCGCCTTAACCATAGCAAGTTTTCGTTCATAGGCTAACTAAAATCACCTACAATAAAGCCGAGCCACGGTTTCCAATATTTTAAACTTCCTATGCATTGTGGGCAGCCAATCAAATATGTTTTTAATTATGATGTATACCACATACACGAAAGTAAAGTATGGTACATACTTAAATGTTCAACACCTCAGTCTAAATCAAGCCTACGTAAATTCTTTCTTGTTTGATGTTCGAATTTTAGATAGTTATAGCCAATATTTGCTCATCGCATGAACGTGATTATAAAATAGTAAGCAAGATGCAACTGGCGATTATTATAATATCGATTTACCTAAGTAAATCGAAAATTGAATTAAATGTCGAGAAGACACAAACTGTCTTTTTTACTCAAGAAATGAATAAATCTTCGAATTTTTCCTTACCCTTCCTTAACAATTCAAGGCCAAGTAATTCCTTTTTCTGATCACATTTAATATGTGGCAGTATGAGTATTTGCGAATTCGGCATAAATTGTATGCCTTTCATCCAGATCCGTCACTTCTTTCACTTCATACGTTATTTATAGCTAAATCGTTGTTATTCGTAAATATATTTGCAAAACATTTGTTTTGTATAACTGAACAGAACTGTTTAGTTATTTACTTTAACGATGTCAGAAAGTCGCTCACTGTTAATATGCTTAAAGAGCTACATTTGAGCGTTTATGAAATTTTCTTTTATATTTAAAATTCGTACAATTATTCTTAGTAAAATTCTAGTCTAAAAAGAGATAAAATCATATATGTCTTGAGTAGTGTACATGTTAATGGCAGCACCACATGTGTAATATTACATATCAGGAGGAAAGAAGTTATATTTTCCTTTGTGTATGAATGCCCCTCACCAGTGTTTATGCGCTAATTCATAGCTAAGTAGGGTAACGATCAAAGTAAGCGATATTTCAATCCAAATTAGTTTTAATTTGGCAGTAGTTTATAGGATATTGTTACCTTTCCTGTGATTTATTTGTATATGCTTCTTTTTTGGTCGTTGTATGACAATGTTACTAAGAAAAAAATGTTGGTGCCAATTTAGAACTTGAACTTAAAAGATCTACAACTTTTCATACCAAAAAGATGCAAAAGACAAAAATTTTTATCTTTGTAGAAACTGTCGACTGATTTAGTAACCTCTTCTTTGCTTGAACTGACGAGAGTAATCCCGTTTTCTTTTCTAGATAAAAGTTTTTGTATTTTTAGCAGAAGCATGAACCACTATTCTCAAATTCTAACAGCTCAATATATAAATAAGAGTAAAGTTCAAGTATAACAAAAATGTGTAGGAGAAACTTAGTCTTCCTGTCTGGTAGCAAATATTCCTTCCATTAAAAGACCGGCCATTATCCGGACTTTAATGTTTTGGTTTACGTATAAATTATCTGCAGGACTCGTGTTTTGTTTTCAATGTTTGATTGCACATCGACCGTTCTACTGGTACGTACTTCTTATGTACGCTCAATGTTATGGAATCGTTAAAATGTATTTTTTTAATATTTATTTTCACATATGTTTAACAAAAAATGCACTTTATCTATTGTAATAATAAAAAGAAAATACTTTATATTCTCGTAATTTTTCATAAAACTAAAATTAATTTACAAAATTTGTATTCATAATATAAAATTGTTCATTTAGTAGTTGTTTCCAATCATTTATCTTACTCGAAACTAAGCTGTCATGTTACTAGATTTTGCTGATTGTGTGACCGTTCCTTATCTTCCGATTGTTTGATTTTTGAGACGGTTATTTAAAAAAATATGTATTGGACATTGCTTTTTTTAAGAGAAATTTGTGTTCTTTCTTGGTTGTCTAAAGCTTGTATTATAAGTAGAAAAATACCTTCGTAAATAGTGATATATTTAAATTTCCCTTATGTCAGCATCTTTTTTTTAGAGTACTTTATTTCTATCGTTTAGTAAATAATGAAACAATTATCTTTCATTTCAGTCCGTCGCAGTATTGAAGCAACGGTTTATTCTTTCAAAGTTTAATGAGAACTTGAAAAAACAACTTTCGTTTTTAATGATGATGTAATGAGCAAAAAAACTTTAATTTAAAAGTTATAATAGTAGTTAGTCAGGACAATAAGAGTTAAATTTAGCAAAAAAAGGAAAATGTATTCTCGGTAAATATGAACATGAAGTACTGCTTGAAAGCTTGAAAATTTTATTCAGTGACTGCTAATATTTTGAAAAATTTAATTTTTAATGAAGAAGATCAATGGCGAGGAAAAGTTGGGATGGTTTTAAAAGAAAAGCTCTCTTTCTTTGCTAAACGGAGTAGAAATTTGCCTGAGATTAAGTAACAATTTACAAGACATACGTATGCATACATATCGATATATAAATACATATATAAATATACATATCTATACCCTACACTCACATATTGTCTATTTAACGCTGCGACTGGCAACTCTTACAATGTGGAATCGTATTTCAATACGTACGTTAATATTTTTCCATACTTTATAATACATATCGACACATATAAACATAGATCAAGATTAGATTTGACATATGCATAAACTTTTCTTTGGTAAGGCGTATCACGCCTTGCGACAGGCATTAGCGTATTCTACAGCATCGTGTAGAGTGGGAAAAATTTCAAAAGGTCCTCCACCGAACGCCATACTATGCACAAGGCTATCATATACTCGGTCCGCTGGACTGGCTATAAACATGCGTATGCCATATTTTTTTAATTCATTCATAATATCACTAAGCATTTGGCCACCGGCCATATCGATGTGGGATAAGGTACTAAAATCCAAAACCAGGAAACGGAAAGAAGTATTTAAATGGCTATGCGGGCTACCATTAGTTAAAATAGTGCCATTTTGAGCAACAGGTACATAAGCGCTTCTTTTACTTTTACCAATATCCAATTCTAACGCTTTATATAAAGCATTACGGTACGATACTGCTGTAGCAAAATTGAGAGCTCCCGTATAACGGAACATTTTGGTCTCAGGCACTTCGAACGCGTTACGATGATTACTTATGTCTACGTAAACCGCTGATGCTTCAGGTATGTAACCTAATAAACAGGAATAAGGTCTCAATCCTTTAATGTACAAGTTTAACAAAGATATGCACACACCGATCACAAGTCTAACAGACAGAAAAAATAAAATGAAACAGCTTGATAGACAAACAATTTTTTCACTCACCCGTAACCGATGTCAATCAATACCACACCGATAAATGTGCACAACCATGTGAGAACCTCTAATTTGCCCTGTTTAGAGAATTTCTTCAACTCCTTGGCCTGCATAAACATAGGTTTTAAAGCGACTATTATAACTCCAGCCAAAACGCACTAATTAAAAAAAGCGTTAAAAACAAATATGTCAGTTAATTCATTTTAGCTTACCCTCGGCAAATAACGAAAGAATGGTCCTGTCCAAAATATAGTCATTACAATCAATATAGCCGAAACTAAAGAGGCTAATTGAGTAGCTCCTCCCGTTTGTTCTTGTATTAGTGATCTGGTTAGCGAGCAAGCCAATGGTATACAAGAGAAAAATCCTCCCACAATATTGCCTATTCCCATTGCAAATAGCTCTTGATTTGGACGAATTTCATATGAATGCTTTTTGGCAAAAGTGAGACCCAGTGACATAACAATTGAGTAAGTAACCACTGCTATGGCCAGTGAGTCTGCTATTAGGTTAGGTATTAAACTTAGGCGAGGTATTGCTGGGGTTGGCAGACCGGTGGGTACTGGACCTACTAATTGAATATCATAGTGAGACTCCACTGCTAATAGCTTAGACACAATTGTGCCCCCTATGACAGCCATGAGCTCGGCGGGTACAGGAAAACGACATTTTTTACGTAAATATGGTTTAATTAATTCATTACATATCGTCATAAAGGTCATGATGGACAAGCAAAAAATCAAAGTTGCTACATTAGTGTGAAGTATTTCCCTACATAAATAGATGAGGGAGTAAATAATTTTAAATAATCCTTTATGACGGGGCACGTGAAGACCAAAAGCATCTTTTAACTGAGTTATAACTACATGGCACGCAGCCCCGGTTGTAAAACCGTTTACTAAAGGCTCACTAAGTAAAGCGGATATTGTTCCTAAGCGCAGAAAGGACATCAGAAGCTAAAAAAATGCGATAAAATAATCATTATTTAGAAAAACATTCAGTTTAATATAATCAACTAAAATTTACATGCATTAATCCCACCGTAAACGCTAAAGCCGTTACTACTTCTATCGGCGTTATAATTTCGTTACCCACTAGCGATAACTGTGCTTCTTCCGATGAATAAGTTTGAACTACCGATAGAGTCATTAAACTAGCCACAGCAAAAGTACCGATTGATATGTGTCGCGATGTGCCGAATATCATATATATCAGAGTGGGGAATATAGCCATATAAAGACCACTACCTGGCGATACCCCCGCTAATAAACCATAAGCCATGCCATGTGGTATATGCATAACGGCCACAGTAAATCCAGCTAATACGTCACCTAATAAATCACGTTTCATGGAATATTTTGGTAGCCATTGGAGTATCGGTATAATGCCAGTGAACATTGCCGAAAATGACAAGCTATGCCAGCATTGCTTTAAGGCGTATGGTAAACTTTTATCCCTGGCTCCATAACCGGTTTCCTTTATTACTACATCATGACTTAAGACATCACGATGGACATCGTATCTAGGTTGAATTTTCGGTTTAACATTTATTATAGTTTGTGTTAACGGCTGTTTAGCACTATAAGGTAAATATAATTATATTAAATTTGAATTAAAATTGAATTAAAAGTATTTTTGACTTACTCTTTATTGGCTTCAATATTTGTTGACATTTTCGGAGGTTTTAAGTCTTTAAACACCACATCCGTATAATGGTTTTGAAAAAATTGCTGTTGGTATTCGAAAAAGCTCTTAGGACTATTAAACAGCGCGGGATGCTCTTTTTCTTTAGTTTTGCTATCGTTTTTTTCTTTGTTGCTTAAATGTAACGTAGTAATAGCTTGATTACTAATTGTTATGGAGGATTTTCGGTTGGGAGCATATGCCCTTAGTTGTAAAACGTTCAAAAATTTCTGAAAAAGAAAATGCTTAAAAAATGAATATCGTACGTGCAGAGATTAAAGGTTGAGTTCATCAATGATTACAACGACGTTAGAAAATCTCTAGTGAAACTGATAGATACCAGGCAAGGCAGAATGTCTAACTTGCTGCAGAATTTAGAAATTATAAGTTGAAAGCAAAAATATTTATAAAATGTATCTTCATTATGAAATCTGGAAACATTATTGTTCGTACAGAAATTTTATCGGTTTCTTAATATTTGTCAAACGATTTTTCAGTATTTCTAAATCTGCACTTGCCTGAACTCTCTTCTAGCTCTAATAGTGAGAAGTGATCACAACTATTGCTTTTTGAATTCCGCTTTCCATTTCACTATCGTTATGCGATAATAAATATAAATATTGTTAATAAACCTGAATAATTCGTCCCTTAACCTTTTGGAATCACAATTACAACTCAGAAACTTTACTGGAAAAATTACTTCGGTTTTAAAATTTTTCCCTTTCACTGTAATCCGGATATGTTAATAAATCAATTAGATAATATCGTGTCTCTTTTCATAATTACCGAAATTTTAAAATAAAAGCTAGCTAGCTTCAGACCCATAAATACCTTGCTTGGTTTTCGATTAATTTAACACGTCTTAAATATGTTGCTCTTTGGTTAAACCGATGTTACGTGTGCCTATGGTTGGATATATTGAACTATATTATTTGTATGTTCCGTGTTAACAAAGTAGCTTACATTCGTGCACAAGCGGAGCTGCTGTAAACGCTAGCTTCCAATTACTACGAAAATGTATTTCCCTTTTTTTGATTTTATGCCTAAATAATATCAAAAAAGTATAAGCAATAAATATTAAAGCAAATGAAAATATTATAGTTGGACTAGGCCGACTTTTAAATACTCAATACCACATTGTGTAACACAGTTCTCATTTTTGCCACAGAACACAAAAATTATACCTTCTATTTATATGAACTTACTATTATGGGATTGCCTTACTTTCCGTAAGAGTGGTTGCGCCCAAGATGTATACAAAGTTCAGCGCAGTTAACTTTTATATCAGATTACTATTATAGATTACTATTATAGATCGATTTTTCTGCGGTAGATAACATAAATTTTCCCGAAAATCTTTATATAGGGTAGGATCCAAAAAAAGGGGTACGTGGTCTAAATTTTCTAGAGTTAATTTTTACATCGAATTACTATTATGGGTCAATTTTCATCATAACATCATCATAAAACTTAAACTTTTCTGCAACAAAACAACAAGATTTTCGTAAAAATCCTTATATGGTCTAATATCCAAAAATTGGCGCGTGTGGTCAAAATTTGGTGCAGTAATTTTTTTATTATTTTAAATTATTATTATGGATTTAGTTTCATCATAACATATTAAAATGTAGGTTTTTGTGCCCTACAAAGGATCAATTATCATGAAAATCTTTATATATTGTACGATCCAAAAAACAAGCCGTGATGGTCCAAATTTGTACAGTTAATTTTTTTATCTTAAATTACTATTATGTTCTGATTTTCATCATGAAATATTGAAACTTAGATCTTTTTGTCATATGATTTTGACTTTTCATTATAAGAAGGGGCTTCAAAAAATTGCGGTAGCCGTTCCAAAGTTTTTATACCAATTTAGAATACCTAAGTACTGTTATTTAGCCACTTTTGTCGAGAAATTTTGAAAATTGCAATTTTTTCCACATAATGACTTTCCAAAATAGAAAACTGAAAATGGAACAACGTTTTGATGCGAACGTATGTGAGAATTAGTGGGAAATTGCCGTTTTGCAAAAAGTATTATTGTTTTATTAGAAAAAGTCTGATTATTTTAATTATTAAATTTATTAAATAAAAACTTTCAATGATTTCATTTGTCAAATTAGACAAGACCTTTTGAAATGGCAGGCCAGAAAAGAGAGCACTGGCTGTTATAGTCCCACTGAACATCAGAGTTAGTTCAAGATTTGTTATGATCAAAATAGTAAATGGTGGCAATACCTGTTTACATACTGCATAGCAACGGCAATGACTTAGATTTACAACGAACATTTTGGCTCTTTCCAGTTTCGATATTCAAGATGTGCGTCTAGAGGCTCTTTATATCATTTTGATCTTAACATTTGTATTTATTAGCTTTTAAAAGATACAGAAAAATCAGTTATATTATATTAAAAGGGTTTAAGCACAATTTCCGAGTAGACTTTTAATAAAATGGAAAAAACTTGTTGAAGTATGGAAAATGTGTTTTAATTATACTCTTAAGAAATATCGATCTAAAATTTGTCTTCATTATTTATCAGCACCACTTAAAAACCGTTTGATACAAAGAATAAATTTTCGAAGTTTACATACATCACTGATATGATAAATATTGAAGATTCGTCCAAATTATAAATCCGTTATGACAGGTAAGCCGGATTTGGTGTCATTCACTGTCGTCGTTATTTAGCCTCCTAAGAAGTTGATGATTATGCGCATTCTTACACAATTACGGATTAAGTAACTTGTAAAAAGAAGAATAAAAGGGCCGGAGGGGGTGGGGAATTGCAAAAAGAATTACTGGATATGTGGAATTCTAAAATATGCTTTAATTTAGCAAATCTAGGATTAATTTGAAACTCAAGCTGGTTAAAGCAATCAATCGATTCTATTAATTCCTACCATGTATGCAATAGTATTCATACCTTTTTTTTAAAGAGTTTATGTTCCATTTTAGCTTTATTGAATCATCAAGTGCGAAAAATTGGAAAACCTTCTTGTTTAGCGCATACGTAATCAGTAATTAAATCACTAAGGCAGACATTGGAAAATATTGAAAAATTACTTAACGTTTTCTGCTCGTTGGGTTTAATTAAATGAAATATATTTTCATTTTAAACATTAAAAAATAATTTTACTTTTTAACGTTTTTTACTACACCTCACTTATTTGGTCGTCCTATGTTAACGCTTACAGTTCAAATCTAATAAACTTGATGGCAAATTTTTTACGTATTTTTAACTGACTTTTAAACATTTAGTTGGAAAATTTTTAGTCACGTTGACAATTTCCAATAATGATATGAACGCAACCAAACTGCTGCAGAGGTATTTTTAAAACACCAATAAACCAACACACGCTACATGTTTTAAGACCTAATTTGTGAATGTGTTCGTACACGTTAAGAACAAGAACCCAACACTTTCCGAGTACATTGTCAAGTTCATCGTAGGCTATAGACAAACTAACTAGCAAAATTGTCTTATTAGAAATCTTTTGTCCCCACCACCTTAAACAGATATTAGGTTGGAGGAAAAGTTCAGCAGCATTTTAAGATAATTAATTAATATTGTCGAATGTTCGATAAATTTAATGATTTAAATTTATCATAACTTTTTTCCATTCCAATCATTTAATTATTATTTATAATGATGTTTATAATAACTGTTTGTCCTTGCTCATGATACAATTATTGTTTTCTATTACACTAGAAACAGACCTTATTATCCTCGTAAAAAGTATTCTCATACAAATTTTGTTGGAGAAGTCGTATAATACGCGCAAAATTTGTTTTCTAGGTAAAGAAAAGAGATTTAATGTGATCTCTCGTAGAAGTATGAGAGAAATTTTAAGAATTTGGCAGATGGAGATAATCATCTTACATGGATCGGAAAAGACCGAAATTTTCCTCCAATCTAAGACTTGTTTATTTCTTAAAAATTGTGAGGATATTATTAACATAGCCGTCGACACTTTAAGGCGGCATAGTTTGCTAAGCCTCATATATGTCAAATTGTCAATTTTAGTGAGGGATCTGCATTTTCAATATTTGTTCCAACCACTTTATATCTTTCAATTGTTACGAGCATGTTTGTGGATAAACTACTTTGTGCCCGTGTATAGTATGACGGGGAAAATCCCATTAGGTTTTATCTTTCCAAGGTGGATAGAGATGTCAAAATCGGCTCAGTGTTTTATGCTGATTAACGGTTACATATGGTATGAGGTCTTGATTGATTATTTCTAAATGTTACAAACGGAAAGAGAAAATTATGGTGACCCCTTCCTTGTTGATTGTTATAAAAATAAATACATTTCTACAAATATTTATACCTGTATATATGTATTAGGTGTTTGCAGAAGTGTTCATCATTTTTTCATTTGAAAAAGGCTTTTAATGAGAAAAATTGGTATACGCCCGCAAGTCGATTCACATAGTACGAACGTATTAATATTGTCAGTAGGTATAAACCAAAGTCGAAATGATGCAAACATAATAATTGAAAAGTGACCAAAATTAAAAACTCAACAAACCAGACATTTATCCAATCGATACTTTGCACAAAAATGCCTAACATTTCTTAAAGCAAGAAAAAAACCAAACAACAAAAAATCTAAAAACTGGGTGTTCCCCTAACCAGCTTCAAGAGTACTTGTGTGTGTACGTCTTAATTCGATAATTACATTTATTACAACTACAAAACGGTAGCGGATGCTAAGTAAGTAAAGTCTACATAGAAAAGACGGCATTTAAAGATGAATTTAAATTGACTACCATATATGATAAAAATGGGACATTTTTAATGGATACTAATAGCAGACTAAACTTTTAATAATCGAATAAGATGTTACATACAAGTTATCTTAAGTTAAAGTGTTAACGCGGTTAAAAAATGCATTTTTACACAAGCATGAAAAATTTTATATATAATTATCATTAATGCTTAGCCGTGGGTCGAAAGAAACCGATTTGATACAATATATAATTTCCATGCATATTTGTTTTTAAGAGGATGATCAATCATGTCGATATGTCCTAGCTTGGTTTGCTTGCCAGGTAGATTACGTTTAAATGAGAAATGTTTTAAATTTCTGCAATCATTTGCCATAGCGTCTAATAACGTTGTTAGTCGTAAACTATGGCGTTCCCAAAAGTTATGAATTCCACTTTGGACCAACTTTGCAATATGCGCGATAAGAGATTTGCATTGATCTTCTTATTGATCACTCTTTGTAGAACATATTTACCAAGGACACACACACGTTTAAGGAAATTAAAACAATGAAAGCAGCCTGGCCGCTTGAAGCATGCTTCCATTGTGCAGTCATAAAAATAGCATCAAACTCTTAATACATTGTAATGTACCGATAACCGAAAATTACTTCTTTGTAAAACAATTTTCATAAAAAATGAAGAGCAATTATAATATTCAGCAATTAAACTAAGCAAGACCTGCACAAACGTACAGAGAAAAATAATCGAAGTTAATTGGTCTTTGCCTTTCTGCTCTTTTTACTGAAATCGTAACACGGTTCGAGCATTCGTTAAAATCCTAATAAGGCTTTCATATCTTACCTCGACGTGGAAATTTCAAACAATATATCCTTTTTTTATTTAAATATAGACTCTCTTTCTTTCATAAGACTTGTGTAAATTCCTTTTTCAGTTTGCTTTCATTTGACTACAAGGTTAATTTAAGAACAGTGATAAATAATAGATTTGTTAATGTAAGCATAGCATATTTTTAAATAAATAACAGAAAAATAAATACGTGAAATTTTTAACTTGTACAGAACTAAACAGCAATTCTTAGTCTGCAACAATAGCAACAATAAGAAATTGTTCATAACTAAAATATTATTTCAAATATTCTAAGATAAGAACAGTTAAATGAAAGGGAAACCCATTTATTTTTGTTTATTTTAATTTTTATTTAAATTTATTACATCGCGCGAGCTTCAAAGCAATTGTTCTCTCTTATTATCATTTGATCATATAAGATATATGTTATCCGACTATATAGTTCAATTTTGATATCTGCAAAGTGCTTCAGTTGATATATTTTTAATCAGGGCGGCAAAGAGCAGTTATATCGCAACGAGCAGACGCGCTCTTTCGGATATTTTATGATACTTTATATAATGATACTTTATAGTGAGTAAGCTATAATACATTAGATTTCCTAGCGCATTGAATGGATCCCTTCCTTAGAGGTCTCATTACGCAATTGCAGTGTCTTTGCTAATCCAAAATTTCGAATATTTTTCGTGTAGTCGACCTAACGGCTGCAATGTGAAAAAAAGATTCTGCTTTAACGTGCACAAAAAATTTTTCACCTCATCTTGTGTGCCCGATGTATAGAAAATAACAAAACGTCTCTAACCTTTCGTTTGTGTTAAAGGGAAAGTCACACTACCAGATCCATCGCGGATATAATACCTCACGAGCCTTTTTGCTTCGAACTCCTATTGCAAGATTCCCGTAAACGTTTTACCTAAATCAATCGCGATATACAGAATGAAGTTTCGTAGGGAGAGATTCTTGAACAATCTAATACTATATAACACAAATTTTGAAAATTTTAGTGGGCTTCGGCAGCAGATTTCTTCAAATAAACAACAAAAGTGGAAAAATGCAATTCTGTGCGATTCATATGATTAGCGCCGGCATACGCTGGATAACTCAATAATATTAACTGGAAAATTGTTATTTTATTAGAGGTCAAAACCGTCGAATTTAAGTCGCTGACTAAAGTTAACGCAACCACCTACTAATATCTTCAGTAAGCATTGTGTATGGTTTTTTGTGATGATTGAGCCATAATTGAAAAGCTTAGTTAATTTCAAATCAAGAATCGTCTGCATGACTCCAGCTTTTCCCCTAATGCTTCTTTATCCAATATTTAGTAAACTCCATTCCGTATGTGGTGTCAATGTAATTAAAATCTCCTTTTACTATTTGGCCATATACGATGTATAGTGTCAATGCATGTAATTCAATTATTTGCAAAATGCTTGATTTAATTTCTTGGTGATTACGACGACAAAGAACACTATATTTTGCATCTGAGCGTATTGTAGCCAGATTTAATTAATGACCCGTAATGATCCATATATGTAATATGTTATATATCATCTTAGCGAGAGTTAACGGTGGTATAGCGTTTAATTCTGCTCTTCATTATAACGGCTGGCTATGTATTTCCTAAAAATGAAGTATTTGTATTGTTGCTTATACTTCTCTTTACAGGGTTTTGTCACCATGCTTATATTTTAAAAGGGAACTTGTAAATTATAACCCATTTTAATACATATTAGGGGGTCTCTGTCAATAAAAGCATTAGAAAATTTGATCCGCTGTTGTTATAATATTACACCAGTACGCCAACTTGGTACTGCAATATACTGCTATATTGCAGCTCACATTCTATTCAATTATAGGACAATTCGATGTATCTAATTTGTGAAAGACAAGGAAGTACTATTGACACCCTGTAAGTTTCTAAGAAACGGGGATACTAGAATGACTACACAGGCGTGAAACCCCAATAATTAGATTTGAGCACAAATCGTACTGAAATTCCACCGAAGCATCCCGACGTAGAGCGCCTAACCTCATGGCCATAGTGTGTAAAAGTTTCAAATTTTATTCGCGCAAGCACAAATTGAACACAAATATTCGAGCTTTAATGCTACATTTATGATGCGAGAAAAAATTCAATGAGAATGACACTCAACAACCTATATAAAAACAAATAAAACATAAATAAATAAAAATAAACACAAAATAATGCAATGACAATGATCTTGAATTCTGTTTTTTATTTTATGACTACTGAGCAAAAAACTTTTTTATATGATGATATAAAAATTATAAAGAATGTGTGTATGTACCTATTTTTATTGTTTTGTTAATAAAGAATAATCAAACGTTTCAAATTTTGAATTTAAAAATTGAAATTTATATTAATAAACGAAGTAAACGAACTAATTGTGTATGTGCTTATTAAGGTTAACTGCTTTAGCATACGTTCAGATACTTAGCTTTAACAGTTGATATCACAAAGATGTCTGATTAACACTATCAAAATATATTTTTGAAAAAAGGCAATTGAGACTTCAAGAGACTTTTTGTTTGTTTCCCTTGATGAGTTAATACTCAGATCTTGTGGTCTGTATCACTGTCAAGAGCAATAATAGGTGAAAAAAAAGAGGCACAATGGAATAGCGTTTATATACGTTCAACTTAAAGACCAAGATACGCACAAACATCAAGACTATTTTCAATAAGCGAATAGTCGCGAGAGGTGGACAGGGCGACCCAGTAATCGTAGTAGTAATAGTACTCAAAGAGAATACTGAAAAAGCCCATTAGTCCTATTAAATGGCATTATTGATGCATGGGTCGCTTTTAACGTCGTTGCATAGAAGCAAAACAAAGTAAATGTGTGTGACAAACTTTTCCTCTAAATAACAAGTACATTATATTTTTTTTTAGTGTCTATTCTAATGAAATGGTGGGCTAACACAAAAAAAAAACATATCTGACTTATATAAGTACGTATATTTTCAATGAATGTGACATTTCTAAAAGACTAAGTCATGAGCGTCTGCCCATGGGCAACCAGAGGTGTACGATTGACAACTAACACTTTGCAGACAAACTATAACCAAGAAATGGAGTAATTCGAAGATTAAAATAAAAATCAATTCGCTGGCTTCCAGCCTGAACCCAAAACTTTTCCAACAGTATAAATTTATACAATAAACAAAGACAAATATTTTACTTCTGCTATTAAACGGCGATCATAAATTAGCAAAAGTGAATGGCCATCACCATACGCATTATACAGTGTATCAAGAAATTATTTGTACATTTTAAAGACAATTACAACGAAAGACAAAGTTTGTCTTCCTCTTTGATCTCGATTACTTGTTTTGAAAATTTAACTGTTATTGGACTTATTTGTTTCTTTGCTAGGTTTTCTTTGTCCCATTCAATTAAAACAAATCAATTTTTTGCTTCACAACTTTCTGATTACACTGAAAAAATGAAATTTTAAATTTTCAGGTTTCGTCCATGGTGAATATTGATTAGAAAGTCTTCCTGTTAGACTTTACTGATCAGAAGTAAGCATATGTTATTAGCACTTTTCACGAGGGAAAGGTAGGACCAATCATGACCAATCCTTTTAGTATTATAATTGATATTCACTATTTTATAATACCGCAAGGAAAGAACCAATTATAATATTAATATAAGAGTTAAACGCAAAAATACAAACTAGTTTGTTTCCAGCAGTTGACAGAAATGAAATGTGGACAAAGAGATTATCACGTATTATAAAAACGGCCATTAATATATTTCCTAATATGTATTTATTGGCATCACTTCAAAGGACTATCAAAAAAATAATAAAACATTAATTTGAGTCATTTTAAAAAATCTCTTAATTTTTCTTTCTTTTTGTATACCTTTTAGCTTCTTTATATTTATTTATTTACTTTTATTCACAGTGTACTGAAAAAATATTTGTAAGGCAATCGACAATAAATTTAATTAAACAATTTCCAATTCATTTAATAACAACAATTGTCTCGTTTATTACACATCATCGAAGGTTGGATTATATTAGATTTGTTCTTCCCTCTGTAAAATTAAAAAATGCGAAGGTTTTTTGAGCAAACTAAAATTTTACTGGCCATGATCGTCTAAGCGCTCGACTCTGATTGATAAGGCGTGTCTGATGCTTCCTCAATTAAGATAGAGTTTTGCATTTTTCATTGACATTAGATGAACACAACTTTTCTTTTGATATTCGCTTTGAGTAGTCCTTGTCTTGAATGCAGTTTGCCTAGTCACGAGTTTCTTCAATGCTTCCTTTGTACACCGTAATTAATAAACAGCTGTTGAAACTTTACCTTTTTGAACTTTGTATTTCATTATATATTTATTGATAACCACAAGTAATACATATATGCTTATGGGCGAATCATTTGCTGTAATAATATATGTACACCTACAAGTTTGTTTAATCCGTCACAGCCAAAATCATAAAATGTGATAACACTATATCTGTACGAAGTCATGTTTATCGGTCCAAAAGTTACTTTATTGCAAATAAACTCGCCATGCTCGCTTTCAAGTATATCTTGGATTCTCACCATCTCAAGCAGCGTCCGTTAGGTGCAGGCATCTTGAAGCCTGCACATCTCACTCTAAACTTTTAGACATTAATAAATATTCAAGTCAATGTTTAAATTGACATGTGCCACAAGATCATAAATTTGAGAAAAATGTATTAAATATTACTATAAGGTAAATCAGGTCCTCTAAGCTGAATGTGATAAATTAGTCCGGATATTTGACTAAATATTCTGAAAACAATCGACGACATTTCGTTGATATTCATTAGTTCCGTATTATTCTATAGGACGCTTATGATTCAGAAGGCCATCAATATTAAGTTCTTAATGAACAATACTATACTGTTTTTGAAGTGCGCATATCTACTTTTTTTTCGATATGTTTATATATTAACCAGAAGAGTTTTCAAGATAATGTCGCCAATTATGGAACATATGATTTTTTATGACTGTGTAGGTATTTAACTGTAGGCATGCATGTTACTAAATCATTCGCATTCACAGCGAGATATGTTCACACTAAAATCCTAATTTCATAATTAAACAATAATTTAAAGATATAAAAGACATACATTCGTTGGTAATGCGTTACTTCTTTATGTTTTGATGCGATTTTTTTACTTTCATCAAATTATTTAAGTGTGCGTATGTTAACGCCTGTTGCCAATCAATTCATTTTCGTTTAGATCACGTCCGATAATATATTTATGCATGTTGTTGTTATTGTCATTATTGATATCGTTCGCTTTTTTATAACACAATCATTAGTTTTTACGACTTCTGGGGAAAAATTTATTATTTTATTTTAAATAATTATACACTAGCTTTGAACACAATATTTTTTCTTGTTCACATAAATTAAACTATTGTTGTATTCTGCTTTATTAAAAATAATTACGTAGTTTTCTTTGTTTACGTTTTTATTATGAACCGATTAAACAGATGTGAAAGAGTTTCAATGGAGAGGAGAAAAATCGAAGGGATAATTTATAAAATTTTAAAAAAGTATAGACGACGTATTTATATTATAACACACATATATATCACAGAACTGATTCACTAAACTCACTAAATTTACTAATAGCAGAACAGCAGTGTCTCCATAAAGAAAGCAATAAGTGGGATTATTTTAGGTCACAAATTATTGTAGGGCATTTGATTTAAACGATTACCCCCACAAATAACTTATGCCTTGCAGCTACTACAGAAATAAATATGAATACTCTACCTATTTTGTTACTGTCAGAACAGAAAGAAAATCTAAGCAACCAAATAAATTATTTTCTGTTTGTAAACGTTTTTGAAAAAATAAGTGAGTAAAATATTCAGATCACGTTATGGACAAACCACAGATTATAGAACATATGAACCAGTCGGTAAATTATACAATATACGATTGCAAATGGATTCCTTGTTCAGCTAAATTCGTGGTGCTAGGTTCAAAACCGAATTACACAGGCATTCTGGACATATATGAATTAAATGAGAATAAATTAGAAAAAGTTAAAACCGTTGAAAAGAAAAACGCATTTAAATGCGGCACATTTGGCGCCGCTTCTTTACGTAATAGACACATTGCCGTAGGTGATTTCAATGGACGCTTGCAGGTCTTGTAAGTATTTACAAAAATTTAGACGCATGTACACAAGTACATATCTGAGATATTTTAATATATATTAATTAATATTGCTCAGAGATTTAGAACGCCCTGAGATTGCAGTTTATAATGTTGAGGCTCACTCCACTATTGTAAATACTATTGATGCTATCGGTGGTAAACAAATGGATTGTGGTGCTCCGGAAATCGTTACCGGTGGTCGCGACGGTTCGGTCAAGGTGTGGGATATACGTCAGGGCAATGCTCCTGTCGTTGATATAACGCCTGGTGATCATCCAGATGAAAGTACGGATAAAATTCAAACTAAACGTGATTGTTGGGCTGTTGCATTCGGCGATAGTTACAATAATGAAGAACGAATCGTCGCTGCCGGCTATGATAATGGAGACTTAAAGCTATTTGATCTTCGACAGTTATCAGTACGTTGGGAAACTACACTCAAAAACGGTGTTTGCAGCATAGAATTTGATCGCCGCGACATACCTATGAACAAGATGGTAGTAACTACTTTAGAGGGTGGACTTTTGGTGTACGATATGAGAACCCAACACCCCATTCAGGGTTTTGCTTATTTAGAAGAACGCAATGCTGGGCGTTCCGTAGGCTCAAATGGTGTCATCTCCGGTCCCAAAGCCACCGTTTGGTGTGCCCGTCATCTACCACAGAATCGAGACGTTTTCGTTACAGGAGGTGGTACAGGCTCTTTGCGCTTGTGGAGTTATGAATATCCTGGGAAACGTTTAAAGGAATCTACAGACGGATTCAACGAGGGCGCAATGGGTTCTTTACACATGTTACAGGCCACTACCGTGTCCACCCAACCTATACATTGTTTTGACTGGCATCCAGATAAACAAGGTCTAAGTATTTGTGGAGCATTCGATCAGACATTTCGAGTTTTAGTAACCACCAAATTAAATTTAATTAATTAAAAGCTTTTGTGTTTTAGTAAATTTTAAAAAATATTTTATTTGGATGCTCTTTGTTTTATATGTTCGGTGACTTTTTCTAACAACATACGTACTTCTTTTAGTTCCTGCAAATTTTCAGGAAACTCCACAGTTTCTTTTTCAATGGCTCTAAGACACGCCTGAGCAGCCAAACGAGCTGAATTCAACTGAGAAGTTATCATAACCTCACTTTCGTCGCTTGCATGATCCCCAGTAGCTTTCAAGGAGTATAGACTTAGTTCTTTGCAAATCTGTAAAGCCTTCAGGGCATATGGCTGTTTGCTGGACCATAGCAATTCTTTCGTGGTGAAAGCTCGGAAGCCCTTTACTAATTTTTCCGCTCTCTTAAGAGGAGTCTGGGACAAAAGGGCTGCTAATTCCCAAATTTTGGCCTCTGAGCCGTGTCGGACACATTGGTGACCCATTAGATCGATAGCTTTTTTCAATAAACGCTCAGGTGCTTGACCTTTTGCATCCGGCTTCCCTTCGGCGATCGCTGTTATTAAAACACACAGAACTTCTAAATCTAAGAAATGAGCTTTCAACTCTGATAACCGGTTGTAAGCGTTGATAGCATCTTCAAAATTTCCCGTGTCCACAGAAACTAACATGAAGTTCTCCCATACTTTCCAGCTGTTGAAGTTACACTTTAAAGATTCGTTTAAAACTTTGTGAGCACGTTGCTTATCTCCCAGTTTTATTAGAGCTTTCGCCAAATTATTCCACGATTCAAAGCCCATCGGTTCCAAGTGGGTATATGTGATATACGCATGTACTGCCAGTTCCCATTTCTCCAGCATAATCGCTGCGTAACCCATTCGCAACCAAATTTTCCCCTGCAAGGAATTTATTTTTACGGATTGTTTATAATGGGGAATAGCATCTTCGTATTCTTTCCGACCAAAATGGTAATTGCCCCAATGAGCCTGAGCCTTACCGCTGGTTTGGTGTGAGAAATCCCAGGCTCTTTTGTAACATCTTGGATCATCGGTAGCATCCCCTAGTAGACAGTACAATAAGACTGTAGGCTTTTTTTGTAATTCTCGATGTATAACTTCCGCTGCTTTATGCCGCAGTTCCAAAATGGTATAACAAGTTACAACTTGCTCCCAAGCTTGAATTTTAAGGTATATATCTAAAGCAGTTTTAACCATACCTAATGATATTAAAAGTTCACAAAGTTGTAATTGAATATGCCATATGGGTTGTAAGAAACTCGCGAAAGCATAAGAAAATCGCTCTTTGATCGAATAAATGTTCTCTGACAAAAGTTTAACACTCTTCTCGCATTGTTTCCAACTACGTTCTACAGTACGTCGCTGGTTTGACTCTTGCAAGCAATTTAAAAGCAAAGTTGACTGACGTACTTGTAGTGGCCCAAATTCTTGGTAGAGTAGAGTCTGAATATATGGTTCCAGTTCTTCGTCAGTCAAGCGATCTTTTGGCGTGGAACGTTTTAACTGATGACTGTTTCAGGGCAAAATATAAATGAGGAATAAAAAGATAAAATGCATTTAATAAACTTAAGAAAATATGGACTTACACTTTAGTCAAAAGTAAAGCCTGTAAAATGCTAGGCAAGGTCACTATATCGTTATGCTGAGGATCAATAAATTTTATGCGCTCTAATCGGGTATCATCTTCTAATAGCAAGAGTTTAGGTAATTCAACATCTCCATTGGTATCTGCGGGTAGCGGCAGAGAGTTAGCACAGTTATTTTGTTCGACCTGAAGGCAGAGTTGGGGTAATGGCTTTTGTTGAAATTTGGTACGTGTGCCTAAAAAACCAACCACTTTCAAATTGACTTCAGAGCGTTCACACAAATTTTGCAAGACTTCTTCGGATTTTTGACATCTATGAAACTGCAAATACGCATTGGCTATTTCCAGCAACAACAAAACCTCGTACTCTTTATTTTTTATTTCATGTGCACGTGGCAGTAACCATTCAGCCTCATCTTTTACCATTTTGTACAAATTTGAAGTTAACCCATCCAAAATGTGCTGGTGAATACACAAGCATCGTAAATTCCACCAGTGAATTATCTAGGGATGGTATAAGCAATTGTATAATTTAGTAACCAAAGCAACTCACTATTCTTATTACACGCACCATAGAATCTTTAGAATTTTCTAAAAGTTTTTGTAATATTCGTCGGGCTGTAAAAAGCAGTTCTGGAATGTTCACATTAGGATTCAACTCTTCTCCATTCTCTTTTAATTCCGTCACAGCGTTTATATCCAAAAAATTCGCATTTTTGACAAATTCTTTAAACTCTTCTAGTTGATCGAAGGGACCCGTAAAGTTATTTTGCGTGAATATTAACAGCAACTCAATAGCTTGCAAAAGTAATCGGTCTATTTCTTCTTGAGTCAGTGCAGACCTGTGTGAGCTTTCCCACCATTGCTGTAAGGACTCCTCCAAATATAGAGGAGACCATTCACAACGCCATAACCGTTTAAGAGACTCATTTTCTAATTCTATGTGAAAATGCATTTATACGACTTTCTTTTTTTTTTTTTTTTAGAAAATCCTTACCTTTTTCTCTAATTTTATCATTAAAATTGCACAAATAAAATATATTGAAACACATTTTTTAAACTTCAAATTACATTCGCAGCGTTGCTGCAAATAAAACCTTTCGTACCGGATCAATTATGGGGATATATTGCAGCAAATTACAGCAAAGAATATCATTATATTTCACATCAAAAGAAATATGTTTTCCCGCTTCTATTTTGCACTTATCCAAAACAAAACTTAGCCTAATAAATGTATGCAACGTTAGAGCATTTTTAAATCCTTAACAATAGAAATTTTGGTACTGCTGTAGCTTGGCAGCAGTGATTAATTTAGTTCAGTGTTGTCTTTAATGGGTTAAAATTAAATATAATGGAACGATATATTATAACTAGTAAATTATGTCTTTCATCAACATAAGATTTTGTAAAATTTTTTTTTAGTTCGGTTTGGGTTCTACAATGAATTCATCTTGTTCATCAATCAATATATACACCAAGATTTGCAAAACTACAGATGTTATCTGCTGATAGAAACGACAATTTATAAATTGGGTTTGGCAAGTTGTATCGTTTTTTATGTAAACAATTAAATAAACTAAATAGAAAAAACGTAAAAGAAGTGTAACCTACTTATTTTAAATTTAATAGTTATTTATCTAAATTTATTTTTATCGGTTTATTTTTTTAATTCTTTTTTACAATCTATGATTTGAAATTTTGTTCTACAGAACATATTATTTTACAAAAAATTGAGAAAAAGGAATAAAGGCGAGGTATTTAAAACACAAGAGGTATTTTTCAAATACACTATTGTTACATTGTAATATTTTGACGAATAATTTCAAACTTTTAAAACAATCAATAAAAAAAGCATTCAAATAAATTACGAAACAATCAAAAAAATATTTCTTTTTATTTTAAACTCTACTTTTCACTCAATTGATCGTTTACGTGTATGTAAGTTTCTTATTCGTATTCCACAAGTCATAAGATGCTTGTTTATATTTACATCGATTTACTTAAACGGATATTTCAAGCGATATGGTAACGTAGTTTTTGCTCATTGGTTTTTCCCTTGTGAAACAAAGTACTTGCTGACTTTTATGCTACGTTGAAGACTTTATCGTGAATTGTTACCTTTCGTCGAAAAGCTTTTTTCAACTTTAATAAAAGTTTCGAATAATAAATTTCACTTAAAGCGATGTTCCTAAAAGATGCTTCCTCAAAGCTTCAAATGTCAGATTGTAGTAAGATTGTTTTTCTATTCCATTATTCCACTGCTTGGTTTGTGTTCCAGATCGATGCTGATTTTCGTCGTTATAATAGGCTTAAATTATAATGCAGGTATGAAAGAGGGCAGAATATGCAATCTCCGATAGATTGTTAATACAACTTTCATAGAGTATTCTTGTCTTTTTATTCTCATCACCAAAGGATAAGGGGTGTATTCATTGTGTCAAAATCTTTGCAACGCCCAGAGGGAAGCATGAGAGTCCGCCAAAAAAGATATATATTCTTGATCAGCATCAAATTCTAAATCGATTTAAAATTGTCCGTCTGCCTGTGTGTGTAATGTTCGTTGTAAACATTCTCCTGTCCGCAAAATTAAAGCTATCAACTTGAAATTCGGCAGACACATTGGAAGTCCTTGTACGCAGGTTGGTATTCGAAATGTCTCAAATTGGTCGCAGGACAGACCCATAGCACCATGTAAACTGAGAACACCTCTGTTTTGCAAAAGGAATGAAAAATTGGTTTTTTGCTCATTACTCATAAGCTAAAGCAAATGAATGTACAAAATGTTTAACGCATATTTTATGGGCGATGCTGTAACATTCGCGCACAAAAATACCCAATATTATAGTGTATCAAAATTTAATGGTTTTTTCAATACGCGCAGAATCAAGCATCAATAATTCGAACTTAAAATTCTTAATGCGGTAAGGCTTTATTTTATGCTGTCAACTACAGCGATAAATTTTTGATAATATTGGTGTTTATATGAGAAATTGAGAGGAAGAGGGTGTGTGGACTGATTCTAGCCCACATATACAATACTATTTCACTTCAGAATATTCGGAAGTAATTTTCTATTTCCCGTGCCAGGCTACTTATACGTAGTTAATGAATTATTTAAATGTTCACACCTTAAAAATAAATCTTGAATGCACTTTTAATATAATTGAGAATGCACTAGGTAAATATCTCTGAAGCCTACGAATATATAAAGTTAAGTATATTCCGGTTGTGACATAAAAGTGAATGATGGAAAGTATAAATTATAAAATTGGAGTGAGCGGCGATTTTCAATACAAATGAAATTTTAATCTTATCTCGCAATGCTGAAATTTCGATCAAGTAATGCGATTTAGTTCCTTAAACCAAATGTGAAGCCCAGAGGTTAAAATGTTATGTATTAACAGATATGAATTTGCGAACTGTTTATTTGTTATAATTATAAAAAAAATGTAGTGGCAAGCGTTTTCTGTAACACTTGCCAAACAGAAAATGACTTCTGTCTATGGTTGGCTTGGAGATGAGTGTCTTTTCTAATAAACATGGAAGGAATCCAGTTTCTTAAGTAATTCCCTTTACTTTATGTTCGAACGGGAACCATTTTAGTTTTTATGCGTATTTGCAGTTCAAAGACCTTTGCATGTAATCACTTCAGTGCTTTAACTCATTTTGAATATTTATCGTTTATTGCTTGCTACAAATGTGCAAACATACATATGCATAAGTATATGTTCTGTCTATGTGCTAGCGTATGGAAATTCAACTTGACCGTTGCATGCTTTTTGTTATAGATCTTTCCTTTTTTTCTTGTTTTTGCTTTTTTCTTGAAATTCAAAGCCTTCTATGGCTGTATGCACAGACCGTACATGCTCCACTTTCATTAACAGTATTGTAATAAGATGCGAAAAAAACAACAGAAAATAATGCATTTTCAGCGAAAGCGAAATGATACCGAAACAAAATGAAAACAATAATAAATAAAATATGAAATAACTATAATAAACTGCTTATTTTTATGAAATTCGACTGTTGTGCTTAAGTTTTCTGGGTGTAATTATTACGACACGTTAATATTGGCTTGAACTTGATTTTGTTTTAAGTTTGTTATTGTTTGCGAATGGTTTTCAATTTTGCTAAAAATGGAAGCAGGGTAAGTTGAAGACTTGCTTATATTTTGCAAACTGAAATGCTGGACACAATTGTGATTTGAAGTTTATGCCCATGGACTAACATCTATCGGTATCTTTTTTCGAGACGAAAAAAAAGGCAAGGCGGTTAGTTGAAGATAGGCGTGTATCAAAGGCAATTTCTCTTTAAAAAGTAGTTACTTTCCCTTGAAAGAGTATCCTTGCGACTCCCGCAATGAATATGAAATCTAAAGATGGTTTCCCTTCATTTAACGGCCGTCTGTTTATGGTATACAACTTCCTTATGGTACTTTTTGACATTTTTCTTCATTAAAATTAGTTCCTTTTATATATTATGCGAAGCTTATGATGATTCCGTGGCATTTCTTTTTATGACCTTGTCTTTCAAACTTTACAACTACTCCATGAAATTCTCATCAACAAAAGTAACGGTCTTTATGTTCGAATCAAGACAAGTTATCTGCTTATGTTGATCATTGTCGTTATTGTTGTTATACTATCCTTCAGCTACGAAATAACGTTGTTGAAGAAAGAAAGAAGAAGAATATCATGCTGCGTCCTCTTCGTTGATCGCAACCTTTAAAACACCGACATTTACGGGAAACTTGGCGAGCATAGAATATATTTCTTAATCAGCAATAAACCATAAGTTAAAAATTTTATGGTACTTCCGCATGTTCCTATATCCTTTACGTAGAAGGTAGTACATAGAGCGGAAATCATTGCGGACAATCCGGTTGTTTAGACCCTCTTCGTTTTCGTCAACAATTTTTTACACCTGTTGGAGAAATTATGCATTCCTAGTAGAGTGTAGGTGTTTTTTTGTGTTTTGCGATAAATTGCACACTGTCCCCTCATGCTTCCGATTCATGATCAGCGTCCAATTCCATGTACGAATAAGCAAGCGTAAGTGACAACTTTAGTCATTTCGAGATCTATGTGCTTCACGCGTAAAAAAGATCAGTTCTTGCTTTATACTTTACATTCCTTCACACAGCGATGCTTTGAAAAGAAAGAAAAACAAAAATTATTGTTTTCCAGAAATAACAGTAACGTATATGTGAATGTTTTTAAACGTGACACTTACTTACCAACCGTGTACGCGAACTATTATCCACGCTTGAAAAATAAATACTTAATTGAGAGTTTTCTTCGTGCATGAAGTCGTTCATACGATGCTATATTTAAAAAAAGGCGAACGAAAGGGGAATATATTCTTTGAACTCAGTTTTAGTTAAATAATATTTAGGTTAAAAACAATTTTAGTTTATTTCATGTTTAAAGTTCTAGTTGTTGTTGCTTTGTTTGTAATATGATCCCAATTATTAAGAGTGATAATTAAAACTATACGATTGCTATTTCAATTTATTTTTTTTGTTAGTTAGTTAATGCCCTTAAATGCAATTAATTACTTTAATTTTATTAGGGACGTTGGTTAAAATAAATGCATATTGAATGCGTCACCATCACTGTCGCTCTCGCTGTTACTGTCACTGTTGCTGATGCTGTTTGTTGTTGCTGTTGTTGTCTCTGAATACTAACGTTAGTGTGTGTTGTATGAACGAAAGATCTAAGTACGCAAGTAAAAACAATGAGTTTAGTAACCTAACTTTCTGTTGTATTTGCTAGGTATAAATAGAACCAACAAACAAACAAGTAAACAAACAAACAAAAAATAAAAAAAACGAATAACTGATATGAACCTGAATTGTTGATTGCATTTTGCAGTCAAGGACATTCATAAATTGTATTTTTACGGTTTTGCATTTTAATAGATCAATATTTGAACAACATTTTTTGGTTGATAACATGCTACTGACGCAAATGAATTATAATGGCTTTCATGGAATTTTTTATTTTCATTTTATGAAATATCGAATTTACAGCAAGTCTTGTGTACCCGTTTATTATTATTGCGTTTTTTTTTTTCCTTTTTTACT